CACCGGGCCGCTCACCGACCTACTGCACTCGCGCAATGAAGGCGTGGCCACGTACGCCGCCGCAGTGCTCTTCCGGATGAGCGAGGATAAGCCGCAGGACTACAAGAAGCGTCTGTCCATCGAGCTGACCAACTCGTTGTTGCGCGAAGACAACAACATTTGGGCCAACGCCGACCTGGGCATGGGTCCCGATCTGCAGGTGCGTGCCAAGTAGGCTAAGGAAATACGAGGTCCTCGGTTTTCCGGCCTTTTAAACGCCCCCTTTTGTGTTCTGATGATTTGAAATCTCGCGCGAGAAGTGAACGCGCTCTGTACATAAAATTGTAAATTTGTAGAACACTTACTCTAGTCAAGCATTATATAATGGTATCCATATTAAGTATCGACCTATATATCGCTTGCGTACAATTTCGATACCCTATTATTGAATTTCAATATGATTTTAATTTTTTTGTTCAGTTATTTGCTTTTCTTGTAACCCACGAATCGATAGATCGTTAATGTTAGTCTTTAAGTAGGTAGCTGTAGAAGACCATCGATTACGAATACCGATTCCGATTATTTATCATCGTATTTAATCTCTAACCACACCCCCAACCCTCTCCACTTATCCCCCCGAAAACATCTCCACCGGAAACATACTTACATGAATTTAAATTTGTATACGCTGCGACATCTCGAACTTTGTTTATGTTTAATTTTGATTTTGTAATTAATTCACGTTTTTTATTTACTTTTCGTTCTTTTCTTTTTTTCCTTTATGTTTACTTTGTGTGTGTAAAACCAAAAACAAAACCAAAAATCACTATAAACACAACTGCAACGGTAAATGAAACAATCAATGACGGATAATCACTGCACCAAAATCTCACCAACAACAATCAAACAACGCGACTGTCTCTCTCTGCCTTACTTCCGCCACACCGCTCCCCCCACAACAACACCCTCTCTCTCACCCTGTCTCTCACATTCACTTGCAAACTGGCGTTTGCGTGTGTCTTCTTCTTTCCTAACAACTTTTCACTTCTGATCCATCCCAACAAATAAATAAAAACGAAACTGTAAAAAATACATCAAACACGTACGATCTCGCACATACACACACATAAACACACATGTATACGCACACCGACCGATAAACCGATAAACAAACCCGAAATCGATCGATCACAGGATATGCTTGGACCCGAAGAAGCATATGAGGGCCTGTACGGACAAGGTCCGCCCAGCGTGCATAGTTCGCACGGAGGTCGCGCATTCCATCAGCAAGGTATGTATGTCATATGCATAAGAAGAGACCTTGACCCCTGACCCTCGAACCTCGGCCCCAAGAAGAAGAATTCCCGCATAGCCCCACTAAAAAAATAACTAAAAGGGATCGTTTACAGGTTCAGACAATTTGATAACTCCTTGGGCCCCGCCCCCCCATACCCCGCATACATATAATCGTTTTCGTGTCTGTTCATCTTTTAAATAAGCACAAAATAATCGAAGCTAAAACGTTAAGATCACATCAATTTCTCCAGTGTGAGCTAAACCCTTTTACCCCTGCCACCTCGCTAGATCTCTTTGTTACTCTGTATCCATGCTCGATATCCCCCTGATTTCGTTACCCCTTAATTTCCACTGCTGCATGCAAAGGACATAAGTAATTGACTTTAGTTTTTGTGCGTGTTGAATGGTTATTTAACCATACCCTCGCCCCTTTCCACTTGCAACTCTTCAATATGGTATTCATTTTTTGAGAAATAAAATCTTTAAGAAATTGTTATAAGACATTTATGTAATTAAATGATTTCCGAGGAAGCCCGACGTCCCTTAAAAGCCCCTTTCGGTTAACTAGGATGAAGCTTACATAAATAACGTCCCACGTTGGGCGCCAGTTATGCTAGGAGACACCTAATTAACTGAAGAAAAAACCGTCTTTAGATTTTTTTGGCTCAATGGACCATCACAAATCTTTAAGTTTTATTTTGTGGGTATTGATGTGCAAAATAAAAATTTTTCGATAATTTAATTTCAAAATGGCGGCTGTTGTGTGCAGTACTTATTGAAAGATGTTTTATTTTTAAGGGTCCATGGCTTATATAAATAATTTGTATTACAATATTTTTATATAAAATATTTTAATTAAAAATTATTATAGATATAAAAGTGTTATTTATATGATTTATTCTGAATGGAATTTATAAATTCATAAATAGCATATAAATATCTATAACAATTTTCTTTAATAATTATTTTTCTATGTTTATGTTTATGTTTAAGACCCCCTGTTGAGTGATTTTTTTTTTGTAATACTAACTTATAACATTAACATGAAATAGCAGTGACTCCACGTTATGTAGCATAATGTTTTTGGTCCCTTTTCTCAGATTTCTCTCAAGTGTCTGACCCTGTTAGCCCTAAGCGAAAAACATTGTGGACTTAATAAGTAGTTTAAAAATCTTAGCACCACACACACAAACAAAGAACACCTAAAAATCATCAACCACAAATAACAACGAAAGCAAACATGTGAATAAAGGATACCAACGCCAAAAGGTTACGTTCTCTTTTTCATACTATTGCATTCATAGCCGGAAAAAATCATCGATTGGACCAAGAATGATGGAGCAACACATACGTTTCGTTAATAATTTTGAATATTTATCCTTTGTTATACATCTCTTGAGTTTGATTTCATTAGAATGCTTTTACGATTCAAGTTATCCATCAACGAAGAAACTTTAGTTCAGTTCGGTTCAGTTTGCATGTCTCGTAGCCTGCGATAAACGCATAGACCTAGTCATATATATTCATATAAATTATCCTGTATATATTTATAGTTTATAAGACGTGTGTGCATGCAGATTTGAAAGGACGAATTCCAATCGAAATCAACTGATCTTGTCGTGCCGTATTTAGTTTTAGAATATTAAAGCGGCATTCAACGATCGGTTTTTGTTGTTTGATACTTTAGTTTAATGTGAAAATACGGCCGTGTATAAGTGGAATCTACGTTTTGTTTGAATTGGGTTAAACAAAAAAAAACTAGATTGTCAAAAATGAACAAAATAGAGCTTAAATACTACAGGACTGCTAAGTTATAACGTTTGGCTTAAGTTTATTGTTTAACTTTTGAGGATTATATAACACCGATAGAGTTATGTAGATAGATAAAATATGAGCTCGATTCCAACGAAAGACGATGAATCCACTTGTGCAGGTCCCCATGATGGTGCACCATCTATTAGTTGGACACTGGCCTGAGGAATCCTGTTTACTAATCACAATTCTTCCCGATATTCTTTCCCATTCTTTTTTGTCCGCAGGATATGATACTCTACCAATAGATTCGATGCAGGGTCTGGAGATCAGCAGCCCGGTGGGCGGCGGCGGTGCTGGCGGTGCTGCCGGCAATGGTGGAGCGGTGGGTGGAGCTGGCGGCGGAGGTGGCAACATCGGCTCCATTCCGTCCAGCGGGGCACCCACATCGCCCTATTCCATGGACATGGACGTCGGCGAGATTGATGCCGGTGCATTGAACTTTGATTTGGACGCCATGCCGACGCCACCCAATGACAACAACAATTTGGCTGCCTGGTACGATACCGACTGTTAGACGATACGAGCCGAGCTAAGGGTAAGGGTCGAGATTCCATTCGACCCCAAAAATAATATTATATATTAATTATAATGCGACGCAGCGGCGAGAAAACCATATTATATGATGCATTACATATTATCCACATAAACGACATGGAAAATTAAACAAATGTTTGCAATAGAACTCGTACATTTCCCTTTACATGGTGTTCTTTTTATTTGTTGTCATGGGAATCGGAAGGCCAGTTCATTACAGTTCTGTAATGTTTTGTAAGTAAAACTAAGAGCACAAAATTACTTATATAAAATTGCATTTCCAAAGCCTTTCATTTGTGATTCCATGTGCTGATTTTGGGACTCAAAATTCGTTTAAGGGTGGACATCTGAAAAACTGGAAAAAAAACGGATTTTCTGGAATTTTTTTTTGGCCAAATGAAAAAGCCAATCAAAAATTTGTAAAGTAGGTTTTATAATATTAGATGCGAAGTACAAAATAAATTTTTTTCGAATAAATCGAAAACAAAATGGCGGCTGTGCAGCATTTCTTCGTAGGCCCTTTTTTGTTGAAGGGGGTCCATGGCCGGACAGCTAACGTCCTTAATTATACCCTTGCAGAGGGTATTATAATTTCAGTCAAAAGTTTGCAACGCAGTGAAGGAGACATTTCCGACCCTATAAAGTATATATATTCTTGATCAGCATCACCAGGAGAGTCGATCTAGCCATGTCCGTCCGTCCGTTTCTACGCAAACTAGTCCCTCAGTTTTAAAACTATCTGCTTGAAACTTTCCCAAAAGTTGAATTTCTATTGCAGGTAGTATATAAGTCGGAACGAGCCGGATCGGGCGACTATATCATATAGCTGCCATATAACTGAACAATCGGAAAAGCCATAACTTTGGTGTTTTTAAAGTTAGGAAGTTGGGATTTTCTATGAGCTTTATTTTTGGCCAATTAATCCGACCTACCAAATTTCATAAGGACGACTATATCCTATAGCCGCCATATAGCTGATTGATCGGAAGTGTCATAACTTTGATGTTTGTAAAGTTAAGAAGTTGGGATTTTCTATACCTGGGTTTTATTTTTGGCCAATAAATCCGACATACCAAATGTCATAGTGATCGGCCGACAATATCTTATAGCTGTCATATAACTGAACGATTGGAAATGCCATAACTTTGGTGTTTTTAAAATGATGAAATTTGGAGTTTTTATGAGTATTAAGAATGCATCAAATTAATAATTTTGAAGAATATAATTTACAGAATATTCTGCAAGGGTATATCAACTTCGGCTCCGTCCGAAGTTAGCTTTCCTTTCTTGTTAAAGTACTATTTCGAAATGGGGCTTAGATTGGGATGGTAATAAGAAGACAAGTACAGGTCCCCCTCCAATTAAAATTAGTTTTGTAACAGATTAACAGGTATTGCTTTATTTGCGGGGGAAGTGTTCATTTACAGGTGTTTGCCAAACCACTTGTGGTCCACGGGTGAGAGCCACCGATGGCAGCCGCTGAGGTTGTTCTGGATGACGTACTTCATGGTGAAAGGGTTCTCGTTTTGGAGGGCGTGCTCCTCGTCGGCGACCCGCTGCTCGTCGAGCATTTCCTGGGAGACGACGGCGGCCTGGAAGGGCAGCTGGTTGGCCACCTGCTGCAGGAACTGCTTGACCTCGACGAACTCGCACTTGCCGGCGATTTCGACAATGACGCGGCCGGCCTTGATGGGGGTCACGTAGTGGTCGATGGCCCCCTTGCCGCCGCCCATGCGCTGGCCCTGGCCCTTCTTGGTAATCGGCTGCCAAGGAGCCGGAACGCGCCAGGTGGCGAACATGGTGGCCACGTTCATCTTCCGTCCAATGGTCAGGCGCATCATCTCGTAGTGGCCCCAGCGCAGGCGGCCGCCGCCGGTGGCCACGATCGCGTACTGTTTGTGGAGCAGGGTATTGTGCACCTTCTCCGGACCGCGCATGTAGCGCAGCCTTTTCTGCATCTTGGGCGGACGAATGTTCGGCGGCAACTGCGGCTGGCGCTCCATGATCCTCAGCTTGGGTCGCTCCGGCTGCTCCACATCTGTGGAAGGTGCGATTGTGTGGTTAGCTTGTATTTATCCTTGCAGAGTTGGAGGTACTTACTCTGATATTTAATGGGCGGGGCGAAGTATTTCAGGCCGGCTGTGTTGACTGCTGCTATGTTGCCCGCTAAAAGTTAGAAAAAGTCGCTAGAAATGCTTTATCCTCTGTGAGGTCTGGCGTGGAGACGCCTCACTCACCTGTCAGGGTTTGCTTGAAAAGCTGTGAGACTGATTTTAGGCCCAGCATTGCAGGTTTTCACTTAACTATAGAGATATTTTATAAGTTTTTCCGAAAATGTGTTGCATCAACAAGAAATAGCGTTGCCAGATGCTTATCATAGTCAGGTTCTACGCCAACAGTCTTTTGAGATGTCTGTTTCTTCGATAACTTCTTATCTTTCCCTGGCCATCGATACTATCGGAAGGTAGCCGAGTTCTGCACCTCGACCTGCCCTTTTTTCCGGTATACTCGCAGTATTTCAGTATATTTTTCCAGTGTGCTCTGACATTTTTAAACGAACCGAATCGCCAGCGCAACGGCCACACTGTACTGCATACACGAAAATAAAAATTTTTTTTGACAAAATCGTGCATGTTTTCGCTCGCAATCCGTATGCACAACGCAGGCCGCGCGAGCCCTAGCTAGCTAGACCGCCGCCCTTCCCGTCCCACGAATCGCAGCGCATCGCATCCCGCGACCAGCGCTCCCACTTGTGTGTTTGTTATGAATATACCGAAGGTGACAACATCGCTTGGTGCCGCCGAAAAGGCGAAACCCGAACGTGTGGCATCCGTGGCCGCCGCAGCCTTCAATGCGGTCAACCTGCAAAAGCGCAGCGGCGCCGACGACCCGGCCACAGCGGCGGAGGATCCCACGCGCAAGAAGGCCAAGACGGAGCTGCAGCTCGGAACGCCCAGTTTGCCCAGTTTGCCTAGTTTGCCCGCCAAAGCATCGGCCGCCCCGCCGCAGCAGCTCCTCTACCAGCGTGTTGGCCAGCAGGTCAAGGCGCAGGTAAAGGGTGCGTCGGATCCGCAGGACGCCCAGTCGGAGGACGTCGCCTGGGACGCCCGTGACCAGCAGATCATAGTGCGCAACTTCGGCTCCGGCGCCGAGATTAAGGCGGAGGACGCGGACAAGCAGAGTAAGTGCACAGCAAGTCCTCCTCCCAGGAACAGTCCACTTAATGCACCTCCACCTCGAAACACAGCCTTTGCCAGCTTTACCAAAAAGGAGGGCGCCTCCTCGTCGGCCTCGTCCTCCTCATCCACCGCCTCCATTATCTCCATCGAACCCAGCGGCTCAGTCCATGAGCAGGCAAACAATCCCGGCAAGGCAGACGACCTCCTCGACTTCGTGCTGATGCCGGCCGCCGTGGCGGATAGCACCGTATCCGTGGGAAACGCCACGGGAACGCCCGTTCAAACCACCTCCACCATCATTCTGAACACCAACAACGGGGCCACAGGAGCCAGTGGAGCCGGCACCACCACCATCCTCACCCAGAAGCCCGGCCACGCAAACTACAATATCTTCAACACCACGGCCACAGGCAGCCAAACGCCCACCACGTTGCTGAACCGGGTGAATTTGCCGACCAAGATGAAGACGCAGCTGGTGGTGAACGCCAAGAAGCTGACGGAGGTCACGCAGACCACGGCCAAGGTGTCCATTGGCAACAAGACGATATCGGTGCCGCTGCTCAAGCCGCTGATGAGTGGAGCGGCCACCGCCGGAGGAGCCACGATTGTGGAGAGCAAGCAGTTGCTGCAGCAGGGTGGCCAGGTGACCACCGTGATGAGTGCCGCGCAGCCGGGCGGAGGGCAGCAGGTGCACCAACACGTTCATACGCACGCTAATCCACATGCACATCACAGCTTCACCAAGCTGATCAAGCGGGTGCCCAAGAACTCTGGCACAATTGTCTCTTTCTCGGGGCTGCAGATTAAGCCGGCGACGACCAAGATCGTGGCCACCAAGGTGGTTGGCAAGAAGATGTCGCTCCAGCTTCAGCAGCAGCTCCAGCAGCAGCAGCTTCAGCAACAGCTGCAGGTGACCAGCGGCGCGGGCTTGGCCCCGCCCACCGGCATAGTAACCATCACCACCGCCAATCCCAGCCAAACTTACGCAATGGTCCAGGATGCCACGGCCGTGGGAGCAGCCTCCCATTCTAAAGATGAAGATGCGCCGGCGCCTCGGAAGATCACCTACACCGAGAACCTGCAGAAGATCCTTAACAAAAGCAAGGCGCAGGAGAGCGGAGGATCCGACGAATTCCCCAACATCAACAGCGTGGTGATCAAACCGCTGGAAAAGAACACGCTCAACTGCCCGTCCGCCTTCAACTTCTTCAAGCAGCAGCACTCGCAGGCCGCCCAAAACCAAACGCACTCCACTGTGGGCAGTGGAGCAGGCACACCCGTGACGTTGACCATGACGCCGGCCTCGGGGAGTGGCTCTGATCTGGCCACCACCTCGACCGTCTCCGTGTCGGCGGCCACCATCTGCATCAATAGTCCGATGACTATGGGCTCGCGGCCCATCATCTCCATTGGGAACAAGAACATATCCCTGGTGCTGTCCAAGACGACGATGGCCCAGCAAAAGCCCAAAATGATCACCACCACCACGCTGGCCAGCCACTCGGCGCTGCAGATGCATCATGCCCTAGTCCAGGACTCGAATGCGGACAAAGCGGGTTCGGGATCGGGATCGGTCCCCTCTGCAACCTCTGGATCAGCTTCCGTGGGAGCAGCCGCAGCAGTTGCGGGATCCATGCAGCTGAAGCTGACCACCGTGACCACCACGCCCGCCAAACTCAACGTCAGTCTGGCCCCTGAAGTGGCCAAGATCGAGGAGATTGCCGCCGAACCGAAAGCAAAGCTACTGCTCAAACAGGAGGCGGCCGTAAAGGATGCAGCTGGGACTCCGTCCAGCGAACAGGAGCGGAGCGAGGAGACAAGCACGACGGAGAAGCGTTTAAACGCCAATACTACAATGACGCCCATTGGCCAGGTGCAGAATCAGACTGCAAACCAAGTTCAGGTGGCCACTCCTACCTCAACCGCCTCGAATCCCAGCACGCCCAATCCTCCGGCCAGCGCCACAGTCACGGCCACACCGACCAACAACCAGCGCTCGGGCACGGAGGACTCGAATAATGCACTGCTGAAGAAGCTCCTGCAGAACAGCAGCAGCAACCACGGCCACAGTCTCAACACGATCAGCATCCCCTCGGCCCACGTCGGCTCCGCAAACACGACGGCGCCCCTCTCCGCCCGCAAGGTGATCAATGTGCGGGCGCCCAGCATGGGAATGGTCAGTAGCTTGGAGGCGCAACTGGCGCGTCCAGTGATCCCTCCGGTGCCCACGGCCACGCAGGCGGCGGGCAGCAGCAGTAGCGGCGGATCCGTGGCCACGTCCACCACCACCACAACGGTGGCCAGCGGGTCCAGCAGCCAGCAGGTGGTGGCCACTGCCTCGGCGACCGGAACCCCAGTTACGGCAGTAGCAGTCTCCACACCTGGCGTGGGAGGAGAACCGAAGCTGGAGCAGAAGACCGACCAGCCTTTAGTGGTTGCAACCATTACGAGCCAGAACCAGAACCAAAATCAAAACCAGACTCCCCAACCGCCACCTGCGCCTGCTCTGCAGCAGCAGCAGCAACAGTCGCAGCAACAGCCGCAGCAATCGCAACAGCTGCAACTGACACCCCACCAAGTCAAGCAGACCGTGCAGATTGTGTCCAAGGAAACATCCTTTATCTCAGGGCCTGTGGCGACCAATAAACTCGTGACGGAAGCCACTGCAAAGCCGGCCGAACTGCTGCCTCCGCCGCCATACGAACTGGCCACTGCGCCCATATCGAACGTGACCATATCCATCTCCACCAAGCAGGCGGCGCCGAAGGAGCTGCAGATGAAGCCCAAGGCGGTTGCCATGTCGCTGCCCATGGAGCAGGGCGAGGAATCGCTGCCGGAGCAAGCGGAACCGCCACCTCATCCGGAACAGGGAGTCACTGTAGCGGGAGGATTATCTCACACTGGCGGAGCAATTGTGGCCGCGCAATGGAGCAATAGCAATCACGTTGAGGCGGGCGTGGGTGCCACGAAGATACCATTTAAGCCTGGCGAGGCCCAGAAACGTAAGCTGCCCATGCATCCCCAGCTGGACGAGAAGCAGCTGCAGCAACAGGTGGAGATGCCCATCAGTGCCCCCCTACCAGCCACTCCCACCGGACAAACTGGATCGGACAAAGTACAGCTCATTTCTGCGATTGCCAGTTATGTAAAGAAATCCGGAGCACCTGGCGAGGCCCAACCCATTCAGAACCAGAACCAAAACCAGATCCAAAGCCAGGGACAGGTACAGATGCAGGCGCAAATGCAGGCGGCCATGCAGGGTCAGTTGGCTGGGCAGATTCCCGGACAAGTCGCTGGACACATCCCCGGGCAGATACCCGCGCAGATGCATTTGCAGGTGCAACAGCATCAGCTCCACGTGGCCGTGCATCCGCAGCAGCATCAGCAGCAGCAGCAGCAGCAGCAGCAGCACTACCACCACCAACAACAACAACCACAACAGCAGCAGCAGCAGCCGCCGACGATTCCGGTTCCAATTGCAGGACAAGGCCCCGTGCCCATCCCCGTGCCAACCATGGAAACCAAGGCGGGGGACCAAAGAAAGCGCCGCAAACGGGAGGTGCAGAAGCCCAGGCGCACGAATCTGAACGCCGGACATGCGGCTGGAGCTCTCAAGGATCTAACAGGTACGCTACCAGCAGGTGCCATGGTCCAGCTGGCAGGGATGCCGCCGGGGACGCAGTACATCCAAGGGGCGGCACCGGGCACTGGTCATGTGATCACCAGCACCGGACAAGGAGGAGTGAGCCTTGGCGGAATGGGAGCCGGCTCCTCGCCCATGCTCAAGAAGCGAGTGCGCAAGTTCTCCAAGGTGGAGGAGGACTACGATGCATTTACCGAGAAACTGCTGACGCACATCCGCCAGATGCAGCCGCTCCAAGTGCTGGAGCCGCACCTGAATCGCAACTTTCACTTCCTCATCGGAAGCAACGAGGCGTCTGGTGGTGGTTCGCCATCGTCCAGCAGCTGCACGGCATCGGCCAGCGGCTCATCTTCGGCCGGAGGTGGTAAACTTAAGGGAGGATCGCTGGGAACCCGGGGATGGCCGCTGAGCAGGCACTTGGAGGGACTGGAGGACTGCGATGGCGCCATCCTCGGCCGCTTCGGGCGTGTGCGTCTGCCGGGGATTCCCTCGTTGTACGACAGCGAACGCTTCGGCGGAAGCGGGGGTCTGGTGGGAGGCTCTGCTGCCACCCGCTCACCCTCGCCGTCGTCCGTTTCGCCGGGAGATGGTGCTGAGAAGGCGCTACCAATGTCCAGCATCCAGAACGATTTCTACGACCAGGAGTTCTCCACACATATGGAGCGTAATCCGCGGGAGCGCCTGCTTAGACACATTGGCGCCGTCAAGGACTGCAATCTGGAGACCATAGATCTGGTGGAAAGCGAGGCCGTGGCTGCGTGGGCGGCCCTGCCGCGACTAACCCGCTATCCAGGACTGATACTCCTGAATGGGAACAGCCGGTGCCACGGACGAATGTCGCCAGTGGCGCTGCCGGAGGATCCGCTGACCATGCGGGTGCCCGTGTCGCCGCTGCTCCGCTCCTGCGGCGAGGAGCTGCGCAAGGCCCAGCAGCTGGAACTGGGTATGGGATCCCTCGGCAATAACAACAACAACAACAATTACCAGCAGAAGAACCAGAACGTGATACTCGCACTGCCCGCCTCGGCCTCTGAGAATATAGCCGGCGTGCTGCGGGATCTGGCCAATCTGCTGCACCTGGCACCCGCCCTCACCTGCAAGATCATCGAGGATAAGATGGGTGACAAGCTGGAGGATCATTCAGTGTCGATGGACCAGGACGAGGAGAAGCACCGGGACTCCTTCAAGCGACCGCTGACCGTGAGCCACAGCCACCTGATGAAGATCCTCAACGGACGCCGTAAGCTGTGCCGCAGCTGCGGCAACGTGGTCCAAGCCACTGGCCTGCGAGTGCCCCGGCACAGTGTTCCTGCGCTCGAGGAGCAGCAGCCCCGCTTGGCCCAACTGATGGCCATGCTGCCCAGGAAGTCGGCTCCCCCGCCGTTCGTCTTCTTCTGCGATCGCGCCTGCTTCGCGAAATTCAAGTGGAGCGGCAAGGAGGGCCAGTCGGAGGCGGCCAGTCTGTTGCTGCAGCCGGCGTGCGGCTCCACCTCGACCGCCAGCTCCACGGGCGATTCGCCAAGCAGCTCTGGCACTAGCTCCACAGCGCTTGCGGAAACGGTGGTCAAACAGGAACCGGAGGACGAGGCAGACCACAAGCAGGCCACTGGCACCCCCACCAATCTCCCCGTGCAGCGCAAGTGCATCGTCAAGTGCTTTAGTGCCGATTGCTTCGCGACGGACTCGCCGGCCATCAAACTGGAGTTCGACGGAGCAGCGGGATCGGGATCGGGAACTGGAACGGGAGCAGCCAACAATACGGTGTGGGAATCGGAGGCTAGCGGACTGCAGCTGGAGGACACCAGGCAGTGCGTGTTCTGCAATCAGCGGGGCGATGGCCAGGCGGATGGGCCGTCGCGACTCCTCAACTTTGATGTGGACAAATGGGTGAGTGTGCCGTGCCGGACTCAAGCGGATCCCTGGCATCCCAGACTAATTTCAATTCGCCCTTAGGTTCACCTGAACTGTGCCCTCTGGTCCAACGGCGTCTACGAGACGGTGTCAGGGGCGCTGATGAACTTTCAGACGGCTCTGCAGGCGGGACTGAACCAGGTGTGCAGCGCCTGCCACCAACTGGGCGCCACCATCAAGTGCTTCAAGTCGCGTTGCAACAGCCTGTACCACCTGCCCTGCGCCATCCGTGAGGAGTGCGTCTTCTACAAGAACAAGTCCGTCCACTGCAGCGCCCATGGCCACGCCCACGCGCATGCCGGCATAGCCATGGGAGCGGGGGCGGGCTCGACGGCTGGCGCTGGAGTGGCGGGATCTGTGGCGGAAAACGAACTGGGCTCGCTGGTCGTCCATCGGAGGGTTTTCGTCGATCGGGATGAGAACCGGCAGGTGGCCACCGTCATGCACTACTCGGAGCTGAGCAACCTGCTCCGCGTGGGCAACATGACGTTCCTGAACGTGGGTCAGCTACTGCCCCACCAGCTGGAGGCCTTTCACACGCCCCACTACATATATCCCATTGGCTACAAGGTGGTAAGTATCCCTGTGCGTCCGACTATCCTGCAAATGCAACCAACGATCCCCCTATTCCCTCAGAGTCGCTACTACTGGTGCGTACGACGACCGAATCGCAGGTGTCGCTACATCTGCAGCATCGCGGAGGCCGGCTGCAAACCCGAGTTCCGCATCCTGGTGCAGGACGCCGGCGACAAGGAGCCGGAACGCGAGTTCCGCGACAGCACGCCCTCGGCGGTGTGGCAGCAGATCCTGCAGCCGATCACGCGGCTGCGCAAGGTGCACAAGTGGCTGCAGCTCTTCCCGCAGCACATCAGCGGCGAGGATCTGTTCGGCCTGACGGAACCGGCCATCGTCCGGATCCTGGAAAGCCTGCCGGGCATAGAGACGCTCACCGACTACCGCTTCAAGTACGGCCGCAACCCGCTGCTGGAGTTCCCGCTGGCCATCAATCCGTCCGGAGCGGCGCGCACGGAGCCGAAGCAGCGCCAGCTGCTCGTCTGGCGGAAGCCGCACACCCAGCGCACGGCCGGCAGCTGCAGCACCCAGCGGATGGCCAACTCTGCGGCGATCGCCGGGGAGGTGGCCTGTCCGTACAGCAAGCAGTTCGTCCACTCCAAGAGCTCGCAGTACAAGAAAATGAAGCAGGAGTGGCGCAACAACGTCTACCTGGCCAGGTCAGCTATACTATTCACTCTCTCAAGCCCGCCGATTGCTCAAGTTCCCCTCTTCCAGGTCCAAGATCCAGGGATTGGGGCTGTATGCCGCTCGGGACATTGAGAAGCACACCATGATCATCGAGTACATCGGGGAAGTCATCCGCACCGAGGTCTCCGAGATACGCGAGAAGCAGTACGAGTCCAAGGTGGGTTTGATCACTTGATTATCTAGGGGTATGACTAATCGTTAATCATACAGAACCGCGGCATCTACATGTTCCGGTTGGACGAGGATCGCGTGGTGGACGCCACACTGAGCGGCGGCCTGGCGCGCTACATCAACCACTCTTGCAATCCCAATTGCGTAACGGAGATCGTGGAGGTGGATCGCGATGTGCGGATCATAATATTCGCCAAGCGGAAGATCTATCGCGGCGAAGAGGTGGGTTTCGCATTTGGATTAATACGACCGTATCGGATTGTAATCTTGTGTGTCTTGTGTATATTGCAGCTATCGTACGACTACAAGTTCGACATCGAGGACGAGTCGCACAAAATACCTTGTGCCTGCGGGGCGCCCAACTGCCGCAAATGGATGAACTAGAGTCGGGAGGAGCCGGAGCCTCTGCCGGAGAAGCAGAAGAGGCGAAAGAAGCGGCGTCCACGTCGCTCCCAGTGAACCGGAACAAGAACAGGAAGAGGAAGAGGAAGATGAATCGGAATCGGAATAGGAATTGTTATATCTGATCAAATAGATAGAATCGCTAAGCAGTATAGACCGTGTACATATATACAATTATATATATATATATGCCGATATGCTCGAGGCGAGCATAGAACCCTGTAAGTTATGTATATGTGCCCACTGTAGCTAATTCGTATCCCACAAATATCGCTCGTAGGTGGAGAAGTGGAGGGAGTGGAGTGTTTCATAGTTTAAATTGAATTAGCAATCATTCATTCGTTTCTATATAGAGAGAATATAAATGTTAATGCTAGGACATGACCACGCCCCTGTAATGTATTTCTGACCCCCAATCCCCCCTCACACAGCCGCAGGAGCATCTTATTTTTTTTGTTTTAGCACCATCTCCACATCCACACCCATCATGAGGACAGATTCCCCGATGGCCAACCCAAAACTTGACTTAATGCGTGTGTGCCTTCCCCTCTGTTTACCATTATCATTATTATCATATTTGTAGTGGCTATTTTCGATATTCGCATACATGTACTATCTTCTTTGAATATACATATACGCCAATAAGGATATAAATACCTATTTTTATTTTATTTTATTTAACTAGTTTTGCAATTAACTTTAAGTACATTATCCAACTCCGAGCAACGTGTATTTTTCATCCCCTTTAATAACTAAGTAAATTTTATGCCACCATTTTACACAAAAAATGTTTTATTTCAACTTATTGCAAAAAGAAAATTAAGGATAATGGGGACAGCACTCTACGAATTTGGAACTCAGGTTCTCCGCCGCTTGACCAGCACAAGAAGCCTCTGGAGTTGGACACCGGCCGCCATGGAGAGGATGTCGAAGTTCTTGAGGTACCACGACAAGTTGTACATCATGTGGATGCGCCAATTCTTGTCAAGGAACGCCTTGTAGAAGTGGCTCATCTGATCCGCCGAGACTTCGGCGGTTCCGCTCTCCTTGTGCAGGCGGATGAAGTCCTCCTTCTCCTGGGCACCGAAAACGAAAGAGATGGCAAATTAGAAAGAGATGGCAGAGGGGATCTTGGCACGCGCCCTGATCTCTGATCTCACCTCGTAGAAGCGCTTGTTGTGCCGCGTCCAGAAGTCCGTGTTCCACGCCTCCACCTCGATCCGCTTGAGCCGCAGACTCCGTGCCAGCCGCGTCTCATCGTCGTCGTAGTGCCGCACATATGGCCGCAGATTGGACTCGGCGTCCGGTGGCCCTATGTAGTCGCACTTGACCGACTTCGGATCGGGTTTGTGGGCCAGACCCACCACAACGGTCCTCTTTTGTCCCGGAGGCGGTGGCTCCGTTTGGACGGCGGCATAGCATCGCGGTAGCTGTGTATATAGAGAATTCGTAAATCAAATATACCAATATACCCTAGGGTGAACTATTGACTCACGCTGAGTTGGGAAAGCAATATGCGGGGCTGGTATTTAAAACATTTGTTCATTTCGATTTGTCTAATGTTGTTATGTTATGTCAGGTGAGCAGTGTGACCGCTTGGAATGCTGAAATATACCCAGTATATTCAAAAAAACATTATGGGCACTCAAAAAAAAAAATATTTATTCTTATTTTAAAAAAATATTCTCAAACTCACTACCAAGCTTAACATCCATATTTAAAAACAGCATTCATATTAAATCGGAGTTTTTTAAACCGATAAATCATCAAAATATACCGACCGAGCCAAATTTTTCCTATGGAAACATCCCATTTTGAAATACCAGCCGAACAGAAATGCATAGCAAGTAGCCAGCGCCCTAGGCAAGTGTTGAACGATCAGTTGTTTTTTTTAAGATGGCCGCCACTCAACCGATTCTGATTGGACAGCCAATAAGAACTCAGCTCCATTATTATTAAAATCCACCGTTACTTGCATTCAAGCACACAGGGGCGTAGTCAGCAACATTTAGCATGCCTCCAGTCACAATTTGTCCAATATCTATAGCTCTGTAGAAGGCGACCGTTCATTTAAACCTCAATGCAGATTATAAATGGGAAATCGCGCTGTTTTCTTGCAAGAGTCAGAGCTTTGTCACTTGTATAATGTAAGACACAAAAATTACAAAACTTGTACTCTAAATTTCAGGAATTCCCCTATTATTCTATGATAAGTGATTTATCCAATTGGAAATAACTATCGTTCCCTTTGCAACACTGCAATCGTCCATCTCCAGCATTAATAGCTATCCCGTGACAATAAATCCAACTGGAAAAAACAAACGGGGAAAATCCGGTGAAAAGTCCGGGGAGAATGTCACCCAAAAATAACCACGACCCGTCGTCGTCTGGCGACTCGGGCAATGCGAAGGTCCAGGAGGCGGATCTCCAAGGTGAGTTGCACTGGCGATTCGTTGCACTTCGATTCTCGTGGGGATTGGCTCTAATGGCATGACCCCTGCAGAGATGGAGGACGTGAACAACAGCCTAGACGCTCTCAGCTGCGCCTTGGACGCCGTGGAGCAGCGCACGGACGACATCATGTCCCAGTTGAGGGAGTTGCTCAACTCCAACCGGGAGATCCGTCGCCTGCTGGCCGAGGAGAAGGACAACGCTCCGGAATCGGGCGACGACAACATGGACGGCCAGTCGGCCAGCGAGAATGCATCCAAGTAGATACCACATGCAACCAGTTATTGTTTTGAACACATAATCGTTTATACACACTGTCCGTGTTTTGTTTTTTTTTTTGTCTATTATCATGTACTATTGATTCTTAACCTAAGTAAACGTAATTGAAGGCAGATTAAGGGTCACTGGTTCTGGCGCGCCTTTTTGCGCTTCGGCTTTTCCGAGACTTCGCCCTGGGCGACGGCATTGCTGGAGATGTACCTGAACATGATCTCCATCATGCGATTGGACTCCTCCTTTAGGCGGGCATTCTCGGCCAGCAGCTTTTGTACATCTATGCCGTTTTCCTTGGAGGTGCTTGGCCTGTCGTCGTCATCCGCTAATGCGGACTGCAAGTCCTCCAACGACACGTCGACATCGGGGATTTCATCCGCATCGGATTCAACCTCTTCCTCCGCTCCAGATTCGGCTTCCTCTGGCTCTGATTGATCTTCCTCCGCTTCAGATTCAGCTTCCTGATCTTCTTCCTCCTCATCATTTCCCGTACTCATGGACGCTATTAGTTTGCGTATGATCTCCTCATCCGTACCCGGATAACTCTGGGTAAGGTCCAACTCTGGAGTCTTGCGTCCCTTGGAGTACTCCTCATCGATCAGCAGTTCGATGCCATCGTTCTCGTCCCGCGGACTGATCATCCGCCTAAGACTGTCGGCGAACAGCTGCGGCTGCTTGTGCTCGGGCAGAAATATGCTCGGACTGAGCAGGCGGATGCGCAGGTTTGTCACCGAACCGTTCTGGGGCAGGCTCTTGATCAGCTGCCGGCTGCCCACGTCCCAGACGCACACCTGGTTGTCCTCGCCGCCGGAGACTAGCGCCGTAGCGCTTAAATTCAATGCCAGGCAGGTTATGGCCTTGCCGCTGGTGTGGCCCACAAAGGCCTGGATCTCCTCCTCCTCCAAGTGGTATTCCTAGGAAAGCAAGGGAATTAGTTTGCTAAGGGGAGGATATGCAAGAGGAAAGCCCACCTTCATGCGCGGCGCCTTCTCCATGTGAAAGGCAAACACCTTGCCGTCGCTTGAGCCCACGTACACCTTGGTCTCCATCTTGTTGACGATTACGCTGTGCAGGGCCACCGGGAACACCACACTGAGCAGCAGGACGCCTCCGCACAAGTCGTACACCTTGCAACAGCGGTCCAGCGAAACTGTGTATAGGTAGGAGCGTATACCGCCGATGCCCGAGTACAGATCCGTGACAGCCAGTCCGTGATCATTGAAGCTGTACAGCGGCTCCGTGCTGTCCTTGCCGCCGCCCGTGTCCAGTGGAGCGGCCGAGAAGGTCAGGTCCCAGACGAACACGGCTCCGTCTTTGCCGCCACTGATGAAGTGCTCGCCGTTATCCGTGAAGCGCAGACAGGTGACCGCCTGGTAGTGCTTTGACAGGGTGTTCAGCATGCGGCCGGAGTTCAGGTGCCACAGATAGATGGTCTCCTGGATGGCGGCCACCAGGAAGTTACCATCTGGCGTTAGGGCCATGGCGTTCACCTTGCCGGGCACCACGAACCGCAGGCCGGCCATCTGCTCCTGCTTGTTAATGGGCCAGACGTGGAGCAGGGGTTTCGCCGAGTTGGCGGCAAAAACGTAGTTAAGATGGATCATCGCCAGGCCGTTGTGTTGGGCACATCCGCCGCCTTTGTAGCGCATCAGGTCGGTGCCCGTACGCAGGTCCTGTACGCTGCAGGTCGTGTTGTCCTCGCTGGCCGTGCTGATGAACAAGGCCTCCACGGCGTCTCCCATTTTTGCTCCAAAAAGTTGCTTAATTCCCGGTGTTTTTATTTTAAGTTTACACGTGCGCGGTTTGCCGAGGTGTGGCCAATGTGCGCAAGTTCAAAGATGCCCACGGTCCTAACGGTTATTATCTGTTTTAAGGGGAATATCCTGAATTCACCGGTTTTAAAATGATAGTATGCGGCAGTGAGTTAGACGGTTCTATGTTTGTTTTCCTTCAAAAATAATATTTAAATGGTTGTCACATTTGTAAAAAAGAAATAAATGTATTATTTGGAGGGTTCGCTCTTTCCGGCGCAGTGTTTACTTTGGTATTTCGCCGAACCACGGTCACTCTTGGCCAATCTTGTGCAACTCCGAATTAAATAAATAGCCGAGATTTATTGTATTGTTTTTACGAAATAAGAGAATAAAATGCATCTGACGCTAATTAACCTGTTTAAGAAGACCGTGCCGGGTCACATATTCCGTGGCAAGCGGCGCCTGGTAAAGCCGGTCAGCCAGCGGGCGATGGACACGCTGACCCGAGAGTACGAGCGCCAGGAGCAGGTGATGCTGCTCCTCCGGCATCCCTATCTGACCCTGGTGAGTGTCCCTGGAATATATATTGATAGCCAGAGCTGATCGCATCCTTTCCGCCCTTAGGAACAGTCCGCCGGACACGCAAAGGAGCTGCAGAAGCGCGAGAAACTGGTGGCCAAGTGGACGGACGAGCAGACGCTGCGTAAGATGAAGCCGCACGTGACCATCGAGGAACGGCTGAACCAGCTGAAGATCAAGGAAGCTTGGGACTAGCTTCTGCTCCGCTCGTTGAACCCGCGTTACTTGTTAAATAAATATAGATTTTATATAAATTATGTAATGTCCACTGGATAAGTGCATGTCAGCCCGTCACTTGGTGAACACCCTGATTTAGATTGTCTCTATCTTTTCATTAGCTTAAGTATTCTCCATGAAAGCCTTTACATACATTTTGATTCAGATTTTCTATATCTTTCGCTATAATCTGTAAAGATTGACTTTTAAGCCTCGTCACTTAGTGGTCGCCCTGATTCATCTGAGTATCTTGGTATACTTCAAACTTTCTACTTGCATTAATCAGAATATATATTCTTCAACACCAGACGTCGATATATATTTGTTTGATTCTTACTTAAAACCATGACACTGATCAAATCTTTCTATCTAATATCCAGTTATAAGATCGATTGAAAAGAATTGGCACAGTTTAGTTTTCTTTCTAAGATAACAAGGTTTGTTCAAAACCATTACAATTATTGATTCATGAAAAGCAAATATCTGTTATTGCACTTAAGAATTGCAAGATCGGAGAAGTTATTTTAAACCCGACCCGCTTACACATCTGAAACGCACTGTACTTGGCTCAACTCAAACTTATTTCTCTCTCTGTTTGTTTCGTGTTTGGCGTTCACGTCGCTTTTATTCGTTTAATTGCGTTTCTAAGTGTATATATATTTCAATATTTCGTGTATTTTATGTATATGTACATATGCAAGGCATGTAACATGTTTCTTCGTCTCCACTTCCGATTGTCCGGAGTCCGGCCATAATCAGAACTGTCCCAGCATCGATTCGTTAGTACGCTATAGACTAAAACTTTATTATTTAATGGGTGTTTTGTCTTGTTTTTATCTGTATTGGAGTTTGTTTAGTTTAATGCACACTTTGATTTCAATTTCAGGGATTCTCACTTTTAGAAAGCAATTTCAATATTTTTCAAATTGAAAAATCATATTTTCCAAACGCCCCGAGGATAGGGAATGGTCTTCTGAATACTAGGGGGTTTAACTATTTTTTGTTTTTTGGGTAGGGGGAGGGGGTAGAGATTAGGATTTGGATTGTGATTCGGGGTCTTCGCCATCTCCTTGTTTTCTTTAGCAACAATACTATTGGAAACGCCTAGAGATTGGTTATAGCTAAGAGGTCACCTCCTGTCTCATTTGTCCTAGGTTTCGTTTTGTTTTTCGATACTATCATTTGCGTTTTGCTTGCTTTTGGTAAATGATGCGCATAACCTCAATAAAACATTTTGTAACAATTTTAAATTAACTTTAAAAAAATAGATATATGCATATTTGTTGCTGCTGCTGCTGCTGCTTCTCTGCCCTCCTGCTGCTGTATACGATTATATGCGTAATAGTTCCGCCTGCTGTTGTTGCTCTTGCTGTTGCCTAAGCAGCAGCTAATGCTAATCCCCCTGTGGTGATGGAGATCCTTTCCAGATTTCCACTCAATCGGCGGCCAACGGTGTGACGCTGGCCTTTTTCACAGCTGCCGTTACCTCATCTTCGGCCTGATCATCCTCTGGCTGCACCTGCTCCGAGGAATCGCCATCAGAACGGGAGAGCGGCGATGCTGGCAGCAATGGCGGCGGCGAACTGGAGAGCATGGCAACGGGCGAGGCACTTGTGGTGGCCGCTGCGGCTCCATCGCCCATGCCCCTTTCGGGAGCCGGTTCTAGAGCCGATGTCGCCGGTGTGGGGACTGGAACTGAAGCGGGAGCCGTCGCCGGCGTGGGCGTCAGCGGCGGCGAGTCCATCTGTTGCTGGCTAAACTCCTGGTTGGGGCTCTCTCTGGTGAACAGCCCCATCTTGGATTCGGATCCCGCAGTACCCGGCGCTGCCGAAGGAGCTCCACCGGCCTCGCCGCTGTCCGTGCTGGAGCTGATCAGCGAGTGGGCCACTGTGGGCGCCGCCGGGCCGCTGACCAGGTGTGGAGGAGCGTGCAGCGGGACGTGCTGGTGCTGCTGATGCTGATGTTGCTGCTGTTGGGCTCCGTGGTAGCGGGGAATGTCCGCTTTGCGCCACAGCGTAATCTCCTGCTGCTTGAAGTAGCGTCGGTCCTCGGTATCCATTAGCACCAGGTTAAGGAAATACTTGACCGAGAACTTCTTGTTTATGTCCCGCATAGTGGGCGTGAGATTGTAGCCGGCGAGGAAGACCCGGATGGGTATGCTTTCGCCTTTGACGGGCGCCCCATCCATGATCTCATACTTGGCGATCGTCTCGTTCTCGTTGAACATCGTTGGACCCGTGCCCGTGCTCTCTCGCTTTATAATCGCGATTTCCATATGCTTGATCTTGATGCGCACCAGCAGGAAGTAAATCTTACCGATGATCGTGTCCCGCAGGTGGTACTTGCTTTTGTTGTACTCGAACTCGATGTGCAGGCAGTCCTCGATGCCTACCTCCATCTTGATGGGGTTGTTCATCTCCGGGTAGCTGCACAGTGTGTGCACGGCGATATCCACCTCTTTAGTGATGTCGCTGATCCTACGGACAATGGTGGCGCGCAGGAAGTACCGCAGACGCACGTTCGACCCGGCGTACACCTCGAACTGCTTCTCCACGTTGGGGAAGTCGAACGGGTAGCTGTTGTTCTGGATGAGATCGCCCGGACGGGCCAGCGCCTTCGCTAGACACTTGAATTCATGGTGGTTTCCCCGGTCGTAGAACAGCTCGATTTGTCCTATGAACTCGATCTTGATGCCCTGGTGCTCCAGCTTGCTGCCGGGCTTCTTGAGTGTCACGTTCACCTGAATGAATAGGGGGTGGATTGGGATTTATCTCTGGCAAAGATTAGGGGAACTCCCCCTGCTGGGATCAACAAAACGCACCTTGCCGGATACAGTCTCCCCGTCGTAGAAGAGCAGCATCTTCTCCACCTTGCCGTCCTCCCCTTTAACTTCCGCCGTCTTGTGCTCCGCTCCATCGAAGACTATCTCAATGTCCGCTGACTGGCCGAAACCCAGGAAATTCATAATTGATAAACGTCGAGTCGATGGAATCGGCTTCTTCCTCTTCTTCTTCTTGCCCCCGCCTCTGCTTCTTCTCCTCTGCTGCTGCTTCTTGCTGCTCCGCTGGAATGTCGTCGCTGTGCTGCCTCTTTTTGGCGGTCCTGATACGGGTGTATCCTTTAGATATCCTTTACCGTAACCCTCGGCTTAGTTGGGCGTTTTTCTGCGGCCTTTTTTTGGTCCTTCGTTGCGCTGCTGGCGTGCGTGTCGCGTCTGTGTGTGTGAAATGAAAAAAATTGCAATTTTTCACACCATAGCGTTGCCAGATACTCGTCGTTTCGATTGTTTTTAAGGAGTGGCTGCTTTGGCATTTTTATAACATTTAGTATTTATTGAAGAATTCTTTGCTATAAATTCATATGAACGCGCTATTTTTAAACTCTGGTATGTTATTATCTGAAGTGAAAATTTTTGAGTTCAGAATTTTGCGTAGCTAGTAATTTCTTCTTCGCTACAGAACTCAATAAAATTAAGACGAAAGATAGATAGTTGGATTTACTATACCAGGCTCTTAAGAATCCCGCGGATGGTCCTTATGCTTTATGGTTAGATAGTTGCCCTAGAAATGAAATTGCTTGGGAAGATAGTTGTTATAATACAATGTGGGTTCAATTCGTACATTTTTTAAAGAGTTTCTAAGAGGTAAGACGGTTTTCAAAAGAAAACTAATAGTTACTAATATAAGCTTTGGCTAGCTCTTATACGTGAGGGCATTTTTAAATGAAGTCAAAATACCGTTACGTGGTATTTACATACTATTTAAATACTACATAGGCAAAAATACCGAAAGTACAGTATTTAAATACCCACTTCTTATTCAGCGAAATAACAAATAAAGAAGAACAGATATAATAAAGAACAGATCCCCACATAAGATGCGAAAGTTTACCAGCTTCGTGTGCGGCACAGGAGCCGGATTGGCGGCGTACTACCTGCAGCGACTGCGCGACCCGCAGACGGCGGTGCAGAACTCGTGGACGAACAGCGACAAGCCGGTGGATCCATGGGCCCTTTGGGACAGCAACTGGGATTGCCGGGAGCCGCGTGCACTGGTGCGCCCGCTGCGGAACAGCCAGCCGGAGGAGGAGAACCGCTACAACGCGGAGCTGGAGAAGGCCAAGGCTAAGAAGCCGCGCCACATCATTCTGGTGCGGCACGGCGAGTACCTGGACGCAGGCGACTCGGATGCCACCCACCATCTTACGGAGCGTGGGCGTAAGCAGGCGGAGTTCACCGGCAAAAGGCTTCTCGAGCTGGGCATCAAGTGGGACAAGGTGGTGGCTTCCACGATGGTGCGAGCCCAGGAGACGTCCGACATTATACTCAAGCAGATCGACTACGACAAGGAGAAGGTGGTGAACTGCGCCTTTCTGCGAGAGGGAGCCCCCATTCCCCCCCAGCCGCCGGTGGGGCACTGGAAGCCGGAGGCATCTGTAAGTCGAGAAAAAGTCGGACCATTTCAGTCCTTTCTAATTTTCGGTATTCATTTCCCTGCAGCAGTTCCTCCGCGACGGAACGCGCATCGAGGCTGCTTTTCGGCGATACTTCCACCGTGCCTATCCGGACCAGGAGAAGGAGAACTACACCCTGATCGTGGGCCACGGCAATGTGATTCGGTACTTTGTCTGCCGCGCCCTGCAATTCCCCGCCGAGGGCTGGTTGCGCATCAGCATCAACCACGCCTCCATCACATGGCTGACCATCAGTCCGTCAGGCAACGTGTCCATTAAGTACCTGGGCGACTCCGGCTTTATGCCTGCCTCACTGCTTACCAATCGTATTCCGCGGGACGCTAAAAACGTGGTCTAGTTACTAGCCAAGTGGCCCCCCCCCAACTGCCAGGATGAGAAGCAATCTTAGTGTATCTATTGCCAAGCCTTAAAGTAAATCAGTAAGCTCAGATCGAGTGATTGTAATTACCATGTAAATTATTGCCACACTTTAAAGTAAATCTCAAGAGGAGGAGGATCTTCGAGACTTCCGACTGAAATAATAACATTTTTATAGAATGCCATACAAGGTTTCTTAATAAAATCAAAGAAAATGGATAATAGCATTATTTACCATACTTTTCTAAAAAAAAAAAGGCACGCTCATCTTTTGATCCTACAAAATCTTTATAAAAACGATATATATTTGTTAATAAGTATCACCTAAAGTTACACACTATATCTAAATTATGAGTTTTCGCTAATACTACCCTTAAAGTATATCTAAAACCTTCTGGAGCCGCTGCAGGCACTTGCGAATGCCCACATCCTCGCCAGCGCCGCGCTTTAGCTCCACCTGCTTTGCCTGCTCCCTCACAAAAGGTAGGAGTGGAGTAACCAGATCTGGCGCCAGCTCCGCCAGCTTGATAAGCATCTGGAAATAAAAGTAAGTGCAGTGGGCCAGATGCTTCTCGGCCAGCGTTCGCAAGTGATTGGAGCACATTTCCCGGACAACCCGAGAGCGCTTAAAGGCCTCGTGGGAGACCAGCACGCGATAGAGTCCAAACACCTGATTGCGACTGAGGTCCAGTTCGTCCACGAACATCACGTGCTCCAGCAGAGGGATGTGGACGCCGCGCAGAAGGGTAACCAGGTGCTGCTCCTGCTCCGGGGCCGTGCCCTCAATCAGTTGCTGCATGATGGTGATCACCAGACCCGCATGCTGCCCAGCCTTTCGTCGCTGCACCACCAGAAACTGGGTCACCAGGAGCTGAAGCACAAACTGCGCCAGCACACCGTCCACATCCGCCTGGAGAAGTGTGGCATACGGACGGGCCACCAGCTTGGCGCTGGGAGAGAAGCTAAAGTGCGGCGTCCAGTGCTGCAATAGCTGCTCCAGTGTCCTGGACACGTAGGAGTCCGTGCGGTAGGCTATTCGACCAATCCCTTGCAGCAGTACCGGGAAGATCTTGTGAACCATCTGCGGCAGGCGACCCTCAGGCGACACTCCCGCCTGCAATTGGGTGGTGAGCAGGAACCGCACCATGGCCAGGTGGAAAAAGCAGCTGGGCTTGGACCGCACGTACGCTAGAGTGGGGCAGTTGTAGATGACGATGGCCAGGAAACTGTAGAATCGGGATCCCAGTTCGGAACGCAGGCGATCCGGAGGCAACCACATCTCGAAGTGATTTACATAGGCATGTAGTTTTTGGCTCATCTGCATGCGCACGTGGGCCGCAGCCTCCTCCTGCTGGGCACGCCTTCCCAGAGCCCCGAAAAAGGCGCAGAGCGGTTCACGCCCCCCTTCCAGAGATGCAGGATCAATGGCCAGCAATCGGAACTCCTCCAGCTGGGTGACATGGGATGTTAAAGCCAGCACAGACTCATGTTGCGCGTTGAGGAGAACCAGAGACTTGACCCAAACCTGAATGATCGTGGAGCTGGCAGGCCGGCCGTCGTCTTCCAGCACCTGGAGTATCAGCTGCGCCGAAGCGGCCATGTTAATAGGTTCCGGTCCGTGCAGAAAACCCAGCAACAGCTTGTCCCGATCTTTGTCCAGTGCGACAAAGTTGGCTGCCAGCTTTGGGAGCCATGGACTATGGCCACTGGTGTACTGCACCTTCAGCAGTGGCAGAATATGTTGTTGGAGTGCCTCCTTGATACCATTGGCATTGCCTGTCACAGCCCTCGGGTCGCCAAGACGGAGGATTAGCGAGTGAATGGCCTGCCACACGCGATCCTGCGATGCCTGGCCACTCTTCTCCACGTAGTGCGTTAGCCAGGGTCCCAAGAGCTGCTGCTCACCGCGATTAAAGTCATCTGCCAGATCGAAGACGGCTTGCAGGCTGCTCACATAGATGGCGCCCACTTCCGTATCATTTCGAATGATGGCCAACTGGTTAAGAAGCTTACCCACATAGTCCTCCATGGGCAGGCGATGCTGAGCATGCAGGAGGAGCAGAGCCATGTGGCCCTTGGCCACTAGAGTCCTCCGCACCGGTGGCAGCTTATCAAGGGCCAAACAGAGCAGCATTTCGCGCAGCTTGGGCGCCAGCTCGGTGAGATCCTCCTGGCAGAGCAGCAGGCACAGGAAAAGCTCGATCACGTGGTGAATACCGGGCTCATTAAGAGCCAAAAGTTTCGCGGCACTGAACTTGCTGAAGATACGACCGAGCAGCTTTTGGCGCTGGTTGCTCCGGCCCTGCTGTGGGAGCATCTTCAAAGTCCGGCCCAGCATCCAGGCGTACATGGTGAAACTGCTGAGATTCAGATCATCCAGCTGGGACTTGGCCAACAGCTTGCTGTAGCGCTCCACGTAAGCAGCACCGTTGGAACAGGTAAGCGGCAGCTGATCCAGTTCAGTTCCCGCACTGAAGTTACAGTTAAGGGAGCGATGCAGGTACTCCCACAGCTGGCACAGCACATCTGTGTCCGGCTGACCAAGCTGCAGCTGCAGGGGCGAGAGTAGCAAAAGGTAAACACGTCGCTGCTGCTCGTCCGGCTGGCTGGCCAGAAACTGCTTCAGCAGATTGGCGGTTTGAAAGTTGTCAGGTTGCGGGCTGAGCATAAGCCCCGGCTTGTACTGACCCTCGTTGTTGTATTCGTTCAAGCGGACCAACCCGAGTCTTAGCCAGGCGTAGAACTCGTGGTACGCCAAGGAAACCGAATTGTTCTCACCTGAAGGAGAAAAGGTCCATAATTAAAGGAGGGAAACTACATAACGGGTCTAGATCAGCCGTTTACCATGGAAATAGTTTGTCCTATGCCTCTGCATGGCCTTGTGGAAGAGCGTCCAAAAGTCCAGGTCCCTCTCACCCAGCCATTTGGGGATGAGATGCTTGAGCAGCACCCACAGCTCTTTGGTGCAGCGGCACATGAAGGGGGAGGCATGGATGAGCTCCGGGCGGTGCTTTCCACGGTAATTATGGCCGGCACACACTATCAGATCGTCCAGCGTACGCTCCAGCTGCCCTAGGAAGCCCTGATCCTCCCCAGAGGGGTACAGCATGTGCAGATCCAAGAAGCGCCACTCCAGGACGCCGTGATACAGGTGGTAGGCCGGTGCCTGGCACTCGTTTCCCTTGCTGTGCTCCGCAAAATACAAAACCTTCCAGTTGTCCGCGTCTAGCTGATTGTTGAGCAAGTGTCGCAGATCCTCCAGAAACCGCAGCGCACCCGGCAGCAGGTCGTTCTCGCGCAGACGGAGCAGCAGGTGGAAGAAGTGGGTGACCTGCTGGCGCAACCGATACCAACCAGAGTTAATGGAGGCGGATGGGGCCTGCAATTGCTGTTGACCCGCCACGGCGGCAAAGAGTTTCTGCACATTCTTGCTGGGGATGGGAGGAAGGATAACCTCATTGATGTAAGATGATGAGAAGATAAGGACTCACCAGGCCTCGCCAAACAGGTAGTTCCTCACCGCGATAACCGTTAATTGTTCTTGGGCAAAGTCGAAGCAGAGGTTGTCCAGTCGACAACAAGGTGGATCTTTTTGAGCATAGCCACTCCGCAGAAAACCCTCGCTCGGGAACTGGGTCTTCAGTGTGTCCCGGCCGCTGCAGCAGAACTCTGGCAGGAAATCCAGTCCCTCCTCATCGGCATCGTCCACTTCCGTTTGCCCTTTGAGGGATTCCTGCTGCAGCTTTTGGGTAGCCTGCGTAAAGGCAGTCAGAATCTCCTCGTCCTCATCCGACTGGAACAAATCGTAATCCATGGCGCAGGCCGGGATTAAGGTTTATTTTCCGGTTTTCCAAAGGTTGCGCGGCATTGCGGAAATTGCCAGTGTTGCAAAGTGACTTTATTGTGATATTGAATTAAGTGTATATAATTTGACATCGACCAAATTGGTGGTAAAAATATAGGCAATTACTTAAAAAAAAAAAAAGTAAATATATTGTGATATTTTAATTGGAACTGAATGTTTCCCATGTTTAATGTTTGCCCCAGGGCAAGTTGTTTAAGACACTGTGCAACACTGCGAGGAAGCCGATAAGGCCAGTGTTGCGAACAATTTCGGTTTCGAAATTGATCTATTTAATAGCTAAATTGACAACACTAATACCAACACAGTTAATCTCTGTGGACATTTGGACCTTTGTTGTGGACTTGCCTTGGCTTGGCATCTTATCGCCCGGTTACGACAGTTAAGTAGCAACCTCCACTTTGAGTACCATGTCGTTCCGCCCGCTGGTCGAGGGCGACTGCGGCGGCGTGAATCCGCTGATGCAGCTGGGCGGCCAGTTCACCCGGGATGTGGCCCACAAGGATGAGGGATATGTGCAGCGCCAGTTCGAGCGGGGCGCGCGACCCGAGGACCAGTTAATCAACGAGTTTCTGGGCCAAGTGGCCGCCCCGCCGCAGTCCTTCCAGATGGACACACTGCTCCAGGAGATGCGGGACATCAACATCCACAGCAATCCCCAACAGCAGATGCAGATGCAGCAGGCGGAGCAGTGGGGCCAGGACTTTGCACGCGGCCTAGCACCCGCCCTGCCGAACAAAATGATCCACATGCAGCCCCAGCAGCAAGACCTGCAGCACGCCCAGGAGTTTTTCGACGAGCCGCTGATTAGCAGTCGGAACTTCCGGCCGCTGCAGCAGCATCCCCTTATGGCCATTACGGCCGGTCAGCAGCTACAGGACCCCTTCTTCGACTCAACCATGGAGACAATCGTCACGGACAACCTTCCCCAGGCGCCGCAAGGCGAGTCGCTGGCGGATTGGATCACCGACTACCAGCGCAGTTCCGAGCAGAAGGAGCAGACCGCCTCTAACTTCAACGAAAAGTTTTGGCAGCGCCTGCAGGACGAGTGGCAGAAGCTGGCCGACGAAAACGAGCATCCTTGGCTGTCGGAGTACAACGACAACATGGACGCGTACAAGGAGTACGTTTTCGCCGAGGAGAACCCCATGTCGGAGTTGGAAAATGCGTTCGAGAAGGGCAAGGAGTATTTGGCAAAGGGTGACATTCCCAGCGCCGTTCTTTGCTTTGAGGTGGCGGCAAAGAAGCAGCCGGAGCGCGCCGAGGTCTGGCAGCTGCTTGGCACTTCGCAAGCGGAAAACGAAATGGATCCCCAGGGCATTGCGGCGCTGAAGCGCGCTTATGACCTGCAACCGGACAACCAGCAGGTCCTGATGGCCCTGGCCGTCTGCTACACCAACGAGGGCCTTCAGAACAACGCCGTGCGCATGCTGTGCAGCTGGCTGTCAGTGCATCCCAAGTACCAGCACCTGGTCGCCGCCCATCCGGAACTGCAGGTCGAGGGCTCTTCGCTGGCCTCGTCGCTGATTGGCCCAAGCAAGCTGCGTGATCTGCAGCAGATATACTTGGAGGCGGTGCGCCAACACCCGGCGGAAGTGGATGCCGAAGTCCAGGAGGCCCTTGGCGTGCTTTACAATCTTTCTGGAGAGTTTGACAAGGCAGTGGACTGCTACCAGTCCGCCCTGCAGGTGGATCCACAGAATGCCAAGACCTGGAACCGCTTGGGCGCCAGCTTGGCCAACGGATCGCGCTCTGTGGAGGCGGTGGAGGCCTACCAGCAGGCGCTGCAGCTCCAGCCAGGTTTCATCCGGGTGCGCTACAACGTGGGCGTATGCTGCATGAACCTCAAGGCCTACAAGGAGGCGGTGGAACACCTGCTGACGGCGCTCACCATGCAGGCACACACCAACGCCGCCCGGGAGCTACCCAATGCGGCGATGGCGGCCACCAGCAGTGGACAGAACCAGATGTCCGAGTCTATTTGGAGTACCGTCAAAATGGTAATCTCGCTAATGGGTCGCAGCGATCTCCAGGGCCACGTGAGCGATCGTAATCTGGCGGCCCTTAACGAGGCATTCAAGGACTAACTGGCTTCAGCTATTCCTTCCTTGTGTTTGGAAATCCACTTGTTGTCATGTTTATTTTTCTATGGTTTAATCTGTAAGCAATTAAAAACTTCTGTGGTATCTATGAACTTGAGACATATTTCACGCCGGTATTGTAACCATTCCCTCTCGATTCCTGATGTCTGTATATTTTTCTATGTCCTAATCTCTATGCAATTAAATTACTGTTGAAGAATTACGAAGTGCACCTTTATTTGCACTACGGCATGCCGCCCAACCGCTTGTAGTCGATCTTCTCGAGCTGCACCAGCGGCTTCAGCTGCTCGGCAAACACCCGCATCTCCTCGCCGACGTCCTCCTGCCCCGTGGGCGCCACTACGGAGAGTTCCACGATGTAGCTCTGCGAGATTGGCTCGTTGGCCATGTCCTGCTGTTTGCCGGGTATGATTTTGATGAGCTTGGAGACGGTGATCTTCATGCGACCCTTGCGGAACATGTAGCCTGGAGGGAGTTGATTTGATCCGTTAGTAAGATCGGTTAAGAGAGAGAAACAGGCGAGTTTTACCTTTGGCTATGTACTCAAACTCCAGGCGGAAACCCATCTCCGTGAGGAACTCAAGAATGCCATTGCTACAAGCACAGTCCATGCAGTTGCGCACAAGCGTGGGTCGTCGCTGGTCCACCTCGGGGTTGCCCAGGTAGCGCATCTGGAAGGGAGCGTCGCGTCCGAGGGCCCGGCGCACGCGGAGCAGCAATGGCTGAGGGGTGTTGGGCTGGCGCAGGCTCATGCACACCTCCAGGTCGTGGAAGGGCTCCGGAGATGTATCTACATTGTCGCAGAGTCCCTTGAGCCTGTGTATTGGCGATTAAGATGGATTGGATTACATGGCTCAAATCTGGGTTAACGTTTACTAGCCCACCTGTGCATCAAGTGCTCCACGGCAGAGTCCAGAATGGATCCCTGCAGCAAGTACTCTAGATTTGGCAGGAACCGGTTGTTCATCGCGGGCAAAGGAGACTTGCGAATTGACTATTTGAAACTGCAGTGAAATTTAAGTAGTGGCTGCAAATTCCGCTTTTTGTTTATGTTTATGTACTCCAGTGTTGGTAACTATCGGTTTTTTATACTGCCTAAGTGCTCCTCTTAGTAGTAACCTACACGGCTACTCTTAAATCGGTGTGGCCACCTTAAAATGTGACTTTTTTTGGAGTCGGTCCCCACCTACATGTGGACATTTCAAAATATTTGTTTTCAAATAAAATTGCCATAAGGAAAAGCCTCAAATAATATGTTGCATATTTTAGTATTTATTATTTTGTATTAAATTCCAACCCACTTTCTATTCTTTATTGAGCTGATCAGATTCTTCATCCAAATATATCTGCTATTTCTGCGATTTATTAGCTTGGAACTTTATTTCAAAATTCTTGCGTAAAACAGTACCATTACCTTATCGTTGGCCGATTACTGCCAGAAAAGTGACACAAATAGGATCTTCTCAGCCCCATAACTTGACGAATTTAAATCTCATTTAAAAGGTACGCCAGCCTCAAAGGGACAAAAATAGTGATCTTCTTAGTCCTATAACTTGAAAAATTTAAATCCGATTTAAAAGGTAAGCCAGGCTCAAGGAGTTAGCCATCTGCCTCTAAATTAATTTTCAATGTTGCTTAATTTCTTAAACTATTTTTGAACTGGCTTTAATACAACCAACAAACAAATGTTGTGGGACCTCAATACTTTGTTACTAGCAATGCAACAATCAATGTTTTTCAGAAACATTTTCAAAGATCGTTTAGTTTTGCAATTGGAAGTCAATTAGCTTGTTTCAGGCTTTAGCTAGATCCTTGCCAGCACTGACGGAAGTCTTTGGACGATATCGATAACGATGACAGTAAATCGACGCGCACAAAATCCAAACAAAATTGCGAATTTGCTAAAAGCATATTCTTAAAGATAAGTTTACCGTTAATTCCACCAACGACGCCCTCAAAATGGCGGATCACAAGTATAAGCTTTTCAATGCGGTCGATCCCAGCAAAGTAAAAGTTCCCTTTAATCAGAAATTTGCCAATTTGACGCTATCCTCCCACAAAAAACGACAACAGATATCCTTGGATCCAAAGGAGCACACTGAAAAGAGGAATCCTCGGGAGCAAAGTCTGCAGAAAACTCATACCATGCGCGGAAATGTTGGTGCTCCGCCCTGCCCAGAAAATACGGAGGACACGCAACCGGATCTTGATAGTTCTGATTACATGGACGCCCTGCAACTGAGCGGCGACGGCTGTAGCCAGGATGTGGCGGATCCGGATGTAGAGCAAATGTCCGCCGGCATTAGCAATTTGACAATGCAGCCAAAGGAGCAGCAGCTACCCTCCAATCAAGAGACTTCCATTTGCATTTCCTCCACGACGGACGAGAACGCCTCCTGCATTACAATATCCGATTCCAGCGAGGACGAAGACGAGGATGAGCCCCTGCCCCCCGATAGCATGGCTGTTAGCGATCGAGCACTCAATTCCGATCAGGAAGCCATACCGCCGCCCACACTTACCAACGAGAAGGTTCAGCGCATTGAGGCCTTCCTGCGCGATGTCTCCATGAAGCGACGCGAGATGGAGCAGAATGGCCCCCAAACACCATCCCCCCTCTCGTCTACTAAGCACCAATCCCGGCTAGCAGAGGCCGACACCGAATCCATGTCACCCAACGACGAGGACTGGCAGCCACCGGTTACCAGACCGATAGACAGCAGTAAGCGACTGGCAGACAACGAAACGCTGGTGGATACTATCTGCTCGGCGGAGGTGACTCAACTGGACACCAGCAAGAGGCTGGCGGATGACGAAACGGAGGCGAACACCCTGGCATCCGAAGATCTCAAATCCAGAGACGGCAGCAAGCGACTGGCGGAAAATGATACGGAACTCAACACGTTGTGCTCCAACAGTCACAACTCGACGCTGAACGACGAGGAGCAGCCCGTTCCGGAGGAACCAGTTGAGATACCGGAAACCAGTAGCGAGGGCGAACCGACGCCAAAGAAACCCAGTCCTGCTTCGTCAATATCTGGCGAAAATGAGCTTGGTTCTTTCCAAGTGAGCAGAATTAATATCTCGGCCAAGATCAACATAAAAATAAGCATTCCCACTATGGAGTCCAGTTCGACGTCGGATGAGGAGCAGCAGTATCCTTCGCCCAGGAACATCAAGTCCTTGGCCAGCTCAGAGGAGGTGCAGCACCAGGAGCAGCGACGGAAAGAACGATCGGTGCACCAAAAATCCATGCTGTCCACGGGTGATGCTTCCGAGGATGAGCAGTTCCTCACCCATGCCGAGAAGCTGCTTAACCAGTTGTATGGCAAGTCCTGGCAGACACCTGATGTGATCCGCACCCTAAAGCGCTCTAGTGGCAGTGGCGGTAAAACGGCTCCTTTACGGCCCAGGAATATTCTTCCAACATCGGCAACAACCGCTAAAAAGAAGAAGCCTCGTCCTCCGCCCGTTAGGCCAGATGAAAGTGCACTTGGTGACTTCAGCATTTGTAAGAAATAGACATTAACCTCAAAACCCTAAGTAACACCAATTTTCTTCCGCAGTTACGCGTGCCCTGCGGACAAATGATACTCCCTTGAACTCCACTCGTCTGCCCCCCGTGAGAGCTTTCCAAACGGAGAGGCGTCCGAGGACGCAAAAGCCAGTGACACGGCCTCGGACCAATCATGTGGACGAGGATCGCTGGCGGAAGCTAATAGATTCAGAAAGCGGCACAGATGCCTCCGACGACGAGGATGCGGATGCCACGTTCAGCGAAAGTGGCTGTGATAGCAACAGCGATTCGGACGAGCAGGGCAAAGAGAAGGGCGGTGATATTACATACCTGGATCTGACCAATGACGAGGTGGAGGTAGTCAGCAACCCCGATGAGGATTCGCATTGTAAGAGCAACCAAATATTTATTCATATTTTGCCGTACTCAAAAGATGCGTTTCATTTTCATAGCGCCCAAGTTCCATCGCCGCCTGGACGACATTCTGCATTCCTGTCGCGCCAGCGTTAAGGCTAAACTGCCTGCCACTCCAGCGACCCAGGCCACAACTCGCCGCCAGCTCTTCACACCAAACGCTGGCTTCGAGGACGACACGGAGGCTAAGGCGATAGTGGACAAGGCACTGGATTTGGACATGCTGGATGAATTGGAGGGCGACTACCTACCAGGCACTCCTGTTCATAAGCGAGTGCAGGAAATAAAGAAGAAGCTTGGCATTGGTCAGCAGGTACAGACAACACCCCAGGAAAGTCCGATCCTTAAGTTGCTCACCCCGCAAACTGCGCCGCCCAAAGCCTTTGCTCCGCCCAAAACCAAAGCCCCACCCAAATCCACTGCCCGCAAGACCAAGAAGCAAAAGGAACAGCCACCCATTATGACCGGGGGAAAGTGCGGCTTCTTAAAATCACTGGAGGGACAGGTGAGCCGGGATCGGGCGGACAACGAGGCCTTCTTTTATCGGGAGAACTTCGCGAAGAACAAGGATCTGCTGGCCCAGCATCTTTACAAGATGTTCAACGCCCAGGTGTTCAACAACGAGCTGGATGTCCCCATCACGTGGTCCAAACTGCTGCGCAACACAGCCGGACGGTGCATGAACAAACGCAAGTGAGTGGGAATGATCCCTGCCAGCCAGGATGTGCCTAATAGACCAAATTTCTGTCCCATTTGCAGACTTAACCAGCGCAGCAGTGTGGTGGAACTAAGCGTCAAAGTGCTGACCACGGCGGATCGCCTGCGGTGTACCTTGATCCACGAACTATGCCATGCCGCCGCATGGGTTTTCAATGGAGAGGGTGGCCATGGAAGGGTGTGGAAGATGTGGGCCCAGCGGGCTAACGACAAGTTTCCCGATCTGCCGCAGATTAAGGTCTGCCACAACTACAGCATAGAGTTTAAGTACACCTACAAGTGCCTGAGCTGCGACAAAGCGTAAGTTGCCAATTGCAAATTACGGATATTTCTCTAACGTAATTGCCTCTGTGCCCCACAGTTCACATGCTCACTCCCGATCCCGGAAAGTGGAGGACCTGCGGTGCAGGATCTGCAGGGGCCCCATTACATTGTTTCTGAACAAAAAAGACAAGCAGGGAAACACCGTGTCTACGCCGGCGGGAGAGGCCAAGGGATTCGCAAAGTTCGTCAAAGAAAACTTCCAGAAGCACAAACGGGAAAATATGACCGCCGCCCAGGTTATGCGCATCCTCAGCGTGGAGTACGCAAAACAGAAGGTCCAGCCGACGGGAGAGACAGCGGCGTCGATCGCCAGCCGAGTGGAAACGCTAACTCTGAGCGATTAGCTCAACTAGCTATATCTAGACACAACCAGTTAAGGACTGTTCTCCAATGAGTTTTTCCATTTTTTCATTTTTATTTTTATTACCAACTCATTCATAAAATTTAGAATTGTTATCTTTCTGTTAAAATGAATTAATAATCAGTTAAGTTACTACAAAAAAACATAAAGGTAAAGATAAGATGTATAAATAAACATGTATATTTTGTTAAATGTATTTTAAATTATGATCTTAAATTATTTTCTAACAAGCAAAGCACGCAAAAACTTTAACGGACATTTACGTCAGTGTTGTGTAACTCATTTATACATAGTCGTCGCTGGAAAACATAAATTTAATGTAGTATAGGGTGACATATACAAAATTTGACCTTTGATTGAAGAAGTAAAGGCTATTTAAATAAATAAATAACATACAGCTCCAATCTGTATTGTTGTTCATAGGAAAAGTTATGCGTAGGATAAATGAGCATAAATTCATAATGGTCTCTGTATAACTAGTAAGCCGACTTGATTTTCTTTTCGTAGTCAGAAATTAGTATATCTTGGTTATGATTCACAAGGGATTGGTTAAAAAAAAAAAAAAAGCTTTGTATGTTGCAGGGTATCGTCTAGTCGGTGTGCACCCCATCGCCAGGGATTTTACGGTGCATTTGCGCTGTGACTCTGGTCACACCGGTCCGCACTCACACACAGCCAGCGTAAACATTTAGTCGCAGAACCGAACACGTCAGCTACGCGGATTAATTGAAAACCGACTTTTTTAACGTCCCGCAAATCCGATCCGTAGCAGCAGTCCATCCTGCTCCGCCCGCATCTGATCCGCGAAGTATTTTCCGACCTAAACGTCAAACGCAGCTGCAAAATGGTAAGAGCCTCCCGGCCAACATACACACACACACACACATACACGTCGGCGATTTTGTGGCTAATCGGGTATTCCGGAATTATCATTATTATTCTTCGACTTGTAGGTACTTATTGCTGCGGCAGTCTGCACGAAGAATGGCAAAGGTAAGTGCTTCGTACTACCCTGTAAAAAGAAACCAGAAAATAACAAATAACGTATACGCACAGTCATCCTTTCACGTCAGTTCGTCGAAATGACGAAGGCACGCATTGAGGGACTCCTGGCCGCCTTTCCCAAACTCATGACCGCTGGCAAGCAGCACACATACGTGGAGACGGACTCTGTGCGCTATGTCTACCAGCCGATGGAGAAGCTCTACATGCTGCTCATCACCACAAAGGCCAGCAACATCCTGGAGGATCTGGAGACGCTGCGCCTCTTCTCAAAAGTGGTGTGTTCAGGCCCGAAGTGTATAAAACCCAGAAAACTTAGTACTAATTACCCCACCATCTGCAGATCCCCGAGTATAGCCACTCCCTTGACGAGAAAGAGATAGTGGAGAACGCTTTTAACCTGATCTTCGCCTTCGACGAGATCGTGGCCCTGGGCTACAGGGAGAGCGTCAATCTGGCGCAGATCAAGACTTTTGTTGAGATGGACTCGCACGAGGAGAAGGTCTACCAGGCGGTGCGGCAGACGCAAGAGCGCGAGGCGCGCCAGAAAATGCGCGAGAAGGCCAAGGAGCTGCAGCGCCAGCGCATGGAGGCCAGCAAGCGGGGCGGTCCCTCGCTTGGCGGAATGGGCGGACGCAGCGGCGGCTTCAGCGCCGACAGCTTCGGCAGCAGTGGCGTGAGCAGTTCCGCGGGCTCCAGCGCCGCCATCGGCATCACCACTATCGATGTAGAGACGAAATCCAAGGCGGCTGCGTAAGTCATCTTTTCTTATTGCTATTCATCTGGTTTCTTGAATGATTGTGGGGATTTCATCAGCAGCAAGCCAACCTCGCGCAATGCCCTCAAGTTGGGCGGCAAGTCCAAGGACGTAGACAGCTTTGTAGACCAGCTTAAGAGTGAGGGCGAAAAGATTGCCAACTTGGCACCGGCGGCGCCTGCAGGAAGCTCCAGTGCTGCAGCCAGCGCCAGTGCAGCAGCCAAGGCGGCCATCTCAGCGGATATTCACAAGGAGAGGTGGGTTTTAATAACTACATACGATAGCTTATCTAATGCTGAAACTCTTCCTTCGTTCAGTGTGCATTTGAAGATCGAGGACAAGCTGATTGTGCGCCTGGGACGCGATGGCGGAGTACAGCAGTTCGAAAACTCCGGCCTGCTGACGTTGCGCATCTCGGACGATGCCTACGGACGCATCTTGCTTAAGCTGTCTCCCAACCACGTACAGGGCCTGCAGCTGCAGACGCACCCCAACGTCGACAAGGAGCTGTTCAAGTCGCGCACCACCATTGGACTTAAGAACCTGGGCAAGCCGTTCCCCCTCAACACCGACGTGGGTGTGCTTAAGTGGCGCTTCGTCTCGCAGGACGAGTCGGCCATTCCACTGACCAGTATGTTAATCCGAACCACACCATTTTCTTCTCTTTCACTTTCGTGTCCGTGTTTCTTGCTCTTTTTTAGTCAATTGCTGGCCATCAGATAATGGCGAGGGTGGCTGCGATGTGAACATCGAGTACGAACTGGAGGCGCAGCAGCTGGAGCTGCAGGACGTGGCAATTGTCATACCCTTACCGTGAGTAGATCATTGGTATCAATATTGAGAGGATTACTTATTTGCTTTCCAACTCCTCAGAATGAATGTGCAGCCCTCGGTGGCCGAGTACGATGGCACCTACAACTACGATGCACGCAAGCACGTTCTGCAGTGGCACATCCCCATCATCGATGCCGCCAACAAGTCCGGCTCCATGGAGTTCAGCTGCAGCGCCTCTATTCCGGGCGACTTCTTCCCCTTGCAGGTGTCCTTTGTCTCGAAAACGCCGTACGCGGGCGTCGTTGCCCAGGATGTGGTGCAGGTGGATAGCGAGACGGCGGTCAAGTACTCGAGCGAATCCATTCTGTTCGTGGAGAAGTACGAGATCGTGTAGGCCAAGCCGCCGGCCCCGCCCACCTAAGTAGTACATAAATATACATAGAAATCCATTTTATTTCTCCAGGGCGTTTCGATTCGATACGATTGATTCCACTGCTGCAGCATGTTAAAGATTATTTTTATATATGTTTCAAACTTTCGATATTTATGGCGCGAACAGCTTCTCAGAGCGAGTAATTAAAACAAAAATGCGGAAAATCATTGATACTAATGAAAATCATTAAACTAATTTTTGAGCACTCCACGCGCTGCGTATAACGGTATAAAATAAATTAAAGGCAATTAGTTGGCAATTGCAGTGTTTTGTTTGCGCATAGTCGCACCCCCTTCATTTGGAGTATTTTTATGTAAAATGCTATGAATAAACTATATATAATATACATTCAAAAACTGAAAACAGGTGTATTTTTTTTGTTTTATAATTCATTAATATTGACAGTTTATTATTAAAAAATGTACTTTGGAAGACATTTTAGTTTTTTAAAGCAAAAGGAAACAAATTTGATTTGGGAAAATTAAAATCATCTAAATAAATAATATTTGCTATTACACTCAGTTTTAATTTAACATTTTGACTGGGTGTATCCAAATTATGCCCACTGTATTACGGAATTTGGTATTTATGGTTTTTATCGCGAACGGTCACACTTGTCATTGTTTTGGTTCTGGCTTTGTTTTTTTAACTGGTGATTTGTTCTTCGTCGTGAATTTAAAACCTCGCCCATGGAGCAGCAACTAGAGAAGGTCTTGTCGGAAATGTAAGAATCCCGTACAGCCCGTAAACCCCACTAGCAATCAATACTCCCTTTTTGCAGCGCCGCGCGACAGGAAACGGTGGGAGCTCTGCTGGCGAATCGTCAGGGATTGTGTCTGGGCAGTGAGTATATGGGGGCCTTAATCAGTTTCGATAATGCCGATGGACTCTTGCAGCCAAGGGCGACATCGATCCGAACGTGTCCGGCATCGGAATGGCCATTTCGGAGCAGGTGGCCAAACTCGAGCCCAATAACACGGTTCCGGCCACAATTTGCCTGTACAGCGGCAACAAGTAAGTTGGCAATTCAGCTTATCTGAGTGGATGCACCTATTTGGAGAACCTTTGCCTAGCATTACCTCTTTTAAAGCTGTTCATTTTACTTCTCTTGAACCGGTCAACATAAGTTTGTTACCAATGAAAACATTTTTTAAGGTATTTACCATTGGTTCACCTCTTTGGTACAAGTTTTCATAGTTTATATCATATGATAAATTTGAAAAAGGTTTATGTACATATCCATTTCTTTGTATCTAGACGCTGTGTGATCCAGAAGGACGGCGAGATAACTGGTGTGATCTTCAAGCAGCAGGCCGCTGCATCGGTGACCGCCGCCAGCAACTAACAGGAGCTGGGGCCTCAAGCGCAACAGTCATGCCAAATACGCAGGTCAGGATCTGGATTCAGAAACACAGTCAGATACAGACACAAATATCTTCCACGACGCGCCAGCTTCGCTTGATTCATTTCGGATGCCAATTCAAGGACCAGCCCCTGTTACATTTGCCCCTCGTTCTAACCGATAGCCATTAACCATAAACATTGTTTTGTACGACTCGCATAGCATTAAGCATTACGGATTAAGCATTAAGCACTGCTGTTAATGGCCACGTCTAATCCAGCCCAGCGCTCTCACCATGTACATATAGACTTTGTACTATTAAGTCCCAGAAAGTGATCAAAGCATGTACACCAATTACAATTATAGCGTTGCAAGCTTTTGAACTTGGCAATTTTCTCGATGTTCAGCCGTAATTACGCAATCATAACGGTCTGGTGTGGTTCGTGCAGCAGTTTCTTGCACATTTTCCGGGTCTGCATTTTGGGTTGGGTGCACCTCATCGAGGAAATGCCGCCGCCCACGTCATGTAAGAAGTGATACATGGACGTGGACATGGCATGCTGCATGCAACAAAACAGCGGCAACATTGCAGCGGTATCAGTAGTGCCAGCAGACAAATTGCCGCGCATTCCGCATCCCACGAGCCATGGTTTCTGTGATACAGTCGAACATCTATACCTGAGACCGTTACACCATTTAGTCCATAGAAATGTTTAAATTGATTTCTTAGCGATGGTATATTGAATAAAAATGGAACTTGTCAGATCCTGTTAAATTTCATACATGATAATTTGCTAATCATTTCAAGTTAAAAACCAGCGGCTTTCTCTTTTCATATGAACACAATTTTTATTCGCTTTAGCTGGTATTCACAGTGTTTTGAAAGTAGTATGACAACGTACACGAACGGCGCCTAAAATCTATGGGAAATCTTCACAGGCAACTGGTGGTATTCCCTGGTCCCTGGTTCCTAGTGGCACCGCAAATTCAAAATGTTTTTTCAACATTAAATATGTATATTGTATTCAGTTTAACTTTTGATACATTTTAAATACTATTTGTATGTTAAGTTATATCTTATACATTTTTCTGTGCAGATGGATCAGTTGCAAAAAAATGAAAAAGTAAGTATTGTAAAGAGTGATATCCATGCACATCTGCTAGGTATGCCAGGTAAACCCACTCTCTGTTTGCCTCTTGTGTTTACCTGTTGCAAAGCCCCAAACCTGAAAAGGCCTTGAACTTTTACCACGGGGCATTGGCGACCCACGTGTGGCGTCTAGGCTTCTTTTTTCAGCTTTTTCCCTCATTTCTGTGGGTGTCGAAAAGCTGCGACTGTGCAAGGTAAATACCACAGAGAAAACAATGTTGATAAAACACGACAGAAACAAAAAACAAATTAACACTGAAATTGGCAGCCAAGGTGCGTTTGTTTAGCCGCCGCTGCAAAGCCTTCAACTTGAATTAAGCGTTCAATTGGATGGATCCATGTGACCACCGATGGTTTATCTAGGTTTTTGTATTCGTTGCTTCAGACATGGAGAACCTTTTCCCTGGCTGCACTATATTTCATTTATATTAATTGTAACATTATAATTAATTATTACTCATACGCAAAGATGGTTGTTGAAAGGAATAAATTACTTGGCGTTTAAGTAACTTAAGTTGTCAGTTCGGGTACTATAAGGTCTCAAAATATACTTTAAATATTCATCATCGTAGTGTTTGCTATACAACAAAATTAATGGCATTTATTACTATACGCAGCATTATTCTTTTAGAACTTGAAATAATGTTATTCTAAAATAAAAGTGAATAATTAAATCTTCTAAGCATACTTTTAAAATTTACATAAATCTACATAATACAAAAAAACCCACATAATTCGGTATTCACTCTCGCTTTTCAGGAAACTGGAACGCCGGCGAGGAAAACTGGTTACCTTTTCGTCGGCGAAAGTGCCAATGGCAAGATGATTCATAATGCAGTCGAAAAGAAATTCCAAAATGCGCTGTGACCCGTTGCATTTTTCACATTTTTAGCCAAATCCCACCGGACCTGATCAAAAACCACTAAGCGGACAGCTGGCAGGCATAAGCAATACGATATGTCCCCCACATAAAAATTCCCCCCTTGCCAAACCACAGAAAAACCCATGAGTTATGAGAGATCATTCAACATAAATTGGGCGACGAAAAAATGTGATAAATGCAAAAAATACCCCCAATAAATTGTTTCCATATTAATAGAGCTGTGTTACAAGAATTTGTGGCCTTTATAAGTTGTGTATCTTCAGGTAGCCAATTGTTTTGTGTCAATTGTTTCTTGTTCATTTTAATTCATCTTCAAAGTTCCAAGCGTATAACCATATTAATTATTTTTTAACATTTTTATTTCGGTCCACTTTCACAAATTTATTTATGTTTTTTATCTTAAATGATATATTACTGATATCAATCTACAATTGTGAAAAGATCAATTTTATATTTAATTGCAATTCGATTAGCCCAATAATTGGTTGCACTCCGGGAGGTGGACAAAAAAGCACTGGGAAAAACTTCAAAGTGTTTTCCCTTTCAAACATTTGGAAAAATGGGCTTGCAGAAAAGTGCCAAGAAACAGCACTTCCAAGCTCACAACTTTTCTTACAGACATCCGATTTTAAAAATGCATATCTCTAAAGACTTGTGATTCGATTCTCTGAAAATCTGCATTCAAAATTTTCAATTTAGCGTTTATCAAATTTTGAACCCATTTTCATGTTAGTTATTTCGAATTTTCCGATGTGTTGTAATACAGTGACTCAAAATTGGACTTCTAGAGTCCATAACTTTTCCAAATTTAATCCGATTCCAAAGTGGCATACCTCTAAAGACTTGTGATTCGATTCTCTGAAAATCTGCATTCAAAATTTTCAATTTAGCGTTCATCAAATTTTGGACCCATTTTCATGTTAGTTATTTCTAATTTTGCGATGTGTTGTAATACAGTGACCCAAAATTGGACTTCTAGAGTCCATAACTTTTCCAAATTTAATCCGATTCCAAAGTGGCATACCTCTAAAGACTTGTGATTCGATTCTCTGAAAATCTGCATTTAAAATTTTCAATTTAGCGTTCATCAAATTTTGGACCCATTTTCATGTTAGTTATTTCTAATTTTGCGATGTGTTGTAATACAGTGACCCAAAATTGGACTTCTAGAGTCCATAACTTTTTCAAATTTAATCCGATTCCAAAGTGGCATACCTCTAAAGACTTGTGATTCGATTCTCTGAAAATCTGCATTTAAAATTTTCAATTTAGCGTTCATCAAATTTTGGACCCATTTTCATGTTAGTTATTTCTAATTTTGCGATGTGTTGTAATACAGTGACCCAAAATTGGACTTCTAGAGTCCATAACTTTTCCAAATTTAATCCGATTCCAAAGTGGCATACCTCTAAAGACTTGTGATTCGATTCTCTGAAAATCTGCATTTAAAATTTTCAATTTAGCGTTCATCAAATTTTGGACCCATTTTCATGTTAGTTATTTCTAATTTTGCGATGTGTTGTAATACAGTGACCCAAAATTGGACTTCTAGAGTCCATAACTTTTCCAAATTTAATCCGATTCCAAAGTGGCATACCTCTAAAGACTTGTGATTCGATTCTCTGAAAATCTGCATTAAAAATTTTCAATTTAGCGTTCATCAATTTTTGGACCCATTTTCATGTTAGTTATTTCTAAAACCTCTATAAAATACCTTGTAAAAATTTTCCCAAATATATAAAACATGAAAAATGATTAATAGGAAAACCATCCGAATTTTTCGCGGTGTATCTGACGAACGGAAACGGCAACCCGTTAGCAGTTTATGTATGTGCGTCCATATGGAGGCACCTATCATCTCACCACTCATATGGCTCCGTTTTGGGTAATTATGGGAGTGCGGCTAATCGCCGCCTCGAAATTCCCTCAACTATCGCGTCATCGGTCTATGCTGTATACCATATAGTCATATACCACGAAATGACGACATTTGGACTTTGATTATATTGATTCTGTTTACATATTTGCCGCTACGTACATAAATAAATTGAACTCTTGGAACTGATATGGCGAGCTCTAAGAACTAAGAACTCTAAGAAGATCAAGACTATATTATTTATTTTAAAATATTACTTTTTAGTTTGTATTCATTTATTTATCATTTTTCTTTAATCTAAATTATTTTGTTAAAAATAGCTTTCGAAATACATTTATTTAGTTTATGGGTTATTTATTTTAGAAGATTTTTAAATTGGTATGTAGGCATTTTTTAATTAATTGAGTGCCAACATAGGTGTCATTTTTATCGGTCAACGTCAACCGCCAGAATCGGCTTGGAGTAGTTTGATGGTCATCAATTATGGGCTATTTATATCTGCATCGCAATCAAGTGGTGGGAAGGGTCAGCAGGTGACGCCAAATCGCATAAAAATAAATAAACATTTCTTAGTGACACCGACGTTTTTTTGAGAAATGTTTACGCCTGTGAATCATCATCGTCGGATCGGGGAACTCGATTTGAGTTTTCGCCTTATTTGGTTAATTCCAAAATGTATTGCGATTATTACACAAACTTATGAATCATGGCTGCTTTAGTTGGCCATATGCTATTTTTATATTTTGGTCAGCTTCGCTCGACATCTGGCCAGATAATGCCATTGTACAATCATGGGCTTAGGTAAGTTACAATTTTAAAATAATATTTTTTATCAAAACGGGGCTCGTATTAAAAGCCCAAAAGTTGGTGATATAATAATCATTAGTCAATGTCTTAAATGCATGACTCTTAATAGCATTAATGTGAATTTTTACTGCAATTCGATATCGTTAAGTGTGTCATATCCCGTAACGGCTGTAAAATTTGCATGCGACTTATGGGAGTCGACTGTTTGTCTGGCCAAAAGCCTTAAATGCGAACAGAAAACACAGACAATAGCCCGATGCTATCTTCGCCTTGCCTATATTGACTCTTCCGATTCAGATTCAGATTCAGATTCTCGGTCGGCGATTGCATAATCCGCGTCTGGCGAGTGTTTTGCTATAGATTTGGGTTCCGTGCACGCGGCATTACCTATAGATCGCATATAGTATCTCCAACACATCCCAACTTTGCCTATATACCAGACAATTAAAACAATTGATGCGATTTCTCGCACAAATGTGCCAAACACGAACGTTCAATTTATATTTAGTCGATCGCCTTCATCCGTCAAATGATCATCAATAGCCCCCCTTTTGCCCCCATTTTTTTTAGTCACGAACCAAAGTGAAGAAATTAAATCGATTAAAAATCGATCAGTAGTTTGTTTAAATATAGTTGTTTGCTTTTTCCTTTTTTGGGATTTTTAGAGCTACATCTTTAGTAAAGTTAAATAATTTGTGCCATATTTTTTATTACCCGAAAAGTAAACACATTTTAGACTTTTAATTTAACTCACTTTAAAGAAGGGTGAAAGGGATAAGATATTTCGTCATTAGCCGAGCATCAGATCAGCAACATCATTAACATGCCGCCACCTCTTGAGTCACTTTCTACTTTCACTGCTGCACACGCACACTGCTGCACACAAACCCACACCAATGCAGTTCCTCATTTCGCACTTGAACGCTAACACGGCACAAATTGACGTCAGCGATGGTTAATGATAACCCTTTGGCTTAACACAGACAATCATATGCTTTCTGTTATCTGTTATCTTTTATCTGTTATCCCCAGCATTGCGATGTAAGCGGTGGGTATGAATAGTTCAGGTGGATTTTGCGACGCAGATGCCTGAAGTACCCAATCTAAGGCTCTTGCCGATTGCTAATTACTTAGTTGGACAAACACTATTTGTATTTTCCAAAGAACCCTCAGCTGATCATACAGATCGGCGCTTCCGCAAGCTGGCAGTACAGCTATTGACCGCAGGTGCAGATGGAGTACAGTGCGAATTGGCTAAGCGCTACTTGGATTCCTAATGATATATCTCTCTGAAAAATCCCTTAAGTTTCTGATATTATATTTTAGGAAGCCAATGCCTATTTCTGATTATATTATATGTTTGAATACAAGATTGATTTTTGGCTTTACTTTCGAAGTTCCCCTTTAAAACCGCTATATGTATAATATGTATCTGGTCGGGACTACATCTATCTTATCCACCGACCTCGCATTGCAGGGCCAGCATCGCCAGTCGGCTGAAACACACATGCGGTTTGATCTTGATCGCCGCACTAGGGTAACGCGGTCTGTAAGTAGTAAATAGTGAATAGTGAATAGTGAAGCAGTTAAAGACCACATGTTTGGCCAAGGTAAATAAATTCATCAAAATTAAGAGACATGCGTGTGTATTCTTGTTAACATTGTTAACAGCTTTAAAAGTTTGTAATTTTCCAAAAAAAAACCTTACCATTTGTCAAGATCGAAGAGATTTCGCTGTGATGACGTCTATATTTTTATCTGCGGGTCAATGTGCCTTCCACACGCTACATATATCAAAAATATTACTCAGCCGACATGTGGTGCATACAGCTAGGTCTAAAATACTGGTATTCCATTTGATATGTACCATTTCCCACACCAATAATAAGAACTATTGCTTTTAGGTGATATTTAGTTTTAAACAAATCATTGTTTCTTTTATTCTCTTTCAATTTGGTCGTAGTGCGTGGTGCATTACTCTTCTTTTTATTTCCGTTCAATATAAAAACAACCGCTTTTTGCAGTGTATTTGTGCTGAAACTTATACTGCTAGGAACATCAATCTTCGAATAAAGGATTCCTCGTCTCATTTTCGAAAATCAGAATGAAGGAATAATGGTTAATCGTCGATAGTTACTTGATAGAAAACAAAAAATATCGCTTAGCCTAGAATGGAGTTCAATGTGAAAAATTGTACACTTGAAGAAATTTTCAATGAACTTGTCGCGTGAATTCGTTAAATAAATAATCAAAACGTTTGGAAAAAAAACATAGGATTAACCTAACTTGCGTTTATGCTTAGTGTATAAAGTAGTTAAAGTTAAACTTTACTTTTTCTTCACTTTCATTTGTATATGAGATGCTTTATTCGTAAAATAATAAACAAAATGTTTGGGGTCGAAGTCGAAACAAAATGAAACGAAACCTAAAGGTAAATTATGATAAATGGAGTGATTCTAGTTGAAAGTTTTGGTCAAAATTAAAAGGGGTTTGTATTGCCTTTCTTCTGTGGTTCTTAAAAAAGTAATGTATGCGCGGATGTATGTATATATTTTTTGTATTTTTCTATTATTTATTTTTGCTTTACTCTTCATTTTCATTTGTCGTGTAAATATGTGAGAAAGTGAAAAAAAAACATCACAGTTAAAACTTCAGTACATTTTCTCGTGGTTCGAAATTAATCAAGAAATAAAAAAAAAAAACAATATGTGTATATACATATGTAGATTAAAGTTCTATTTTTCTCTATAAATTTACGCTTACAAAATATACCTATGTATCGCATATAAATATATGATTATCCTTCTTCTTCTTCTTTTTTTTTGTCGTATTTGTCATTTCAATTTTGCGAATTACTTGATATATATACGTTGTGCCAACACCTGGCAATGGGGCCCTATATAACCCGGTACATCGGATACATCAGATACATCAGTGTTATAGAAACCGATTGCCAGGTGAACGACGCAGCTGAGATTTTAGGATTGTTTTCTTGTTGAATACCGTACAAACTAGGCGATCCTAACTGGCTTAACTACTAAAAGTACTTGCTGGCCCCCATGTGTTTCCGACACCCCCCCTCGCGCCTAATCCTCCCAGCTCCATGTGGGATCCAGCTCCCGGTTGATCCGCCACAGCATCAGCTCCATGCAGGCCCGCGAGTCCTCGAAGCTGCTGTGTCCCGTGGTGCCGTCGCCACTCTGGATCTCCCGCTTGAGGTGCACCTTGGTCAGGTGGCGCAGGGCCTTGCGATACGGAAACCCACTGCTGTGCGGGAAGCTGATCGAGGTGTCGATCAGGGTGTTGTGCACCAGCCGCAGGGCCCGCAGGTCGTTGTCCAGCCCGTGGCCAATGAGGATTGTGTCCGCTGCGATCAGCTCGAGGAGATCGCGCTGCACCTCGGCCAAGCTCTTGGCCCCGGAGCGCAGATCCCGTTCCGTGATGCCCGAATACCGGGTGTTGTAGTCTATGATGTCGCACTCGGGCCGCACAAAGTGCTCGTACACCAGCTGCCCATTGAGGGCCACCAGTGAGACCTTGGTCACGTCCAGGCCGCGACCCGTGTAGCTCATCTCGCAGTCCAAAGCGTACACAGCGGGCTCCTCGTCCTCGGCGCAGATCCGATGCTGGGTCCTCACGAAGTCGTAGTAGGGTCCATTGACCCCCACCACCGAGCCCGTCCACACGTGCCGGTCGCCCAGGCAGCAGCCCGGCGAGGATTCCTCGCCCTCGTGGCAGCAGGTCCAACGGCCATGGCAGACGCCATCGTAGTACCGCTGGTACTTGCCGGAGTGGTAGTGGCACTCCTCGCGGGTCAGGTACTGACCCGTCAGCTCGTCCACCAGGAAGTGGCGCTTGCAGCGGGCACAGGGCTTGGCCAGACTCACCTGGACGTACTGGCAGTACTTGAGCTCCAGCTCGGCCTCGCCGGAGGAGGAGGAGGACGACGACGAGGAGTTGGAGGACTCGCATTCGCTGCCGCTCCACTCGCCGCCGGACTCCGAGTCCAGGGATCGGGGTGAACTGTTGCCGGAGTCGCTCGAGGTGGCCACCTCCTCCTCCGACCGCTGGTTGCTCAGCCCGTCGTGGCAGTTGATCACGGTGACTGCCGGAGCAGTCTCCGCCAGGGCAGCGGCAAAGCTCATGTGTGGCAGGCACTTGAAGATCTCGATGGCGCCCTCGTGCACCACGGACTCCACGGGGAATCCGTAGACCCTCAGCAGATGGTGGTCGATGACGTGGCGTCGCAGCCTCTGCACCACTGCCCTATCGTCCAGATCCAGTTGCTCGTACTGGCGCAGCTGGGGCACCAGGAAGTTGGCGTTCTGGCGACCACGTTCCCGCTCCCGCCGCCATTCCAGGGCGGCTCCCGGCATCAAGGAGCGCTCGATCCGCTTCCGGTTTCCACTCGCAAGAGGGGAACTCGTCGGCGAACTGGTGGGCGAACTCAAGGCCGAGGAGGAACTGCTGTCGCAGGTTTTGCGCTGGGTGTTGCTGCAGTGCTTCGAGATGTTGCTGCCGGGATTGCCGATGTTGCTGCTGTTGATGCTGTTGATGCTGCTGCACTTGACCGGCTTCTTGTTGCTGCCGCGCTTTTGCTGCTGCTGCTGTTGCTGTTGCGGACTGTTGCTGTTGCTGTTGGGATTGGGCTGCTGCTGCTGCTGCTGGCGCCACTTGCCGCCAGTCTGCTTGGTTTTCTGGCCCCCAATCGAGGCAGTTGCTCCTGGCTTCTGGCCATTCTGGTCGGGATTGCGGAGCTGCTTCTGCTGGCGCTTTGAGCGCGACTTGTTGCCGCAGGGTACACCTGCAACAGTACTGTTGCCACCGCCGTTGCCGCCGCTCGAGTTGCCCTTCGGCTTATTCAGATGCTCCCTGCTGGAGTCAATGTCCTCGCTAGTCGCCTCGCTGCTGGTGCTATTGCGATGACCCGGGTTGTGCTGGCCCAGAAATTTGTCTGCAACGAATTGGAAAAGGGTAAGAAAATTAATCAAATATTAAATTTATATTATATTATTTTTTACTTCGTGCTGATATATTATCTTCTATTCGCGAAACAATTTGATTTCCCTTGAGCTCTTAATATTTTTAGAATAATAAATATTTTGTTTAGCTCATATAATTTATATCGTTTGATATTTTAACATAATTGATTAAAGGTATATTTATTAATTTGTCTTAAACTAATTAAAACATCTCAGAAAATTCTGCCAATAAAATAAAATATTCGCTAAGAAATTCAAATTCTGATAACAGGCTCGCACACAAGCGTAAAAAGTTAATACACAGGCACACACGCTTATCAACAAACGCCACGTGCTTATGAGTATTTCTTTTTTTTTGCCGTTTCTATATCTCCCTCTCGCTGTCCCTTTCTTTGTTTTAGTATTTAGTACACTTGGAAAAATTTGGAGATTTTTTGTGTTGAATATTACGGTTCGGATTATAGGATGAGTAGAGTAAGCAGATGTAATTCCATAAGTTAGATCAAAACATAGTAGCATATTTTCCTATAAAGATTAATTCATTTTTAATGCCTAATTATACAAAAATATATTTGAATATTGGTAATTAAACAACGTTAACACTTTTCACCGTGTAAATATATGTATTTAATTTTTGATAGTGTGATTTGATTTAGGGAAGGTTACGCATGACTGGAAATTGACGCATGTGTGCGGCGTTCCTACCTCGAGTTTTTGCTAATTCAGCTTATTTGGTTGCCACCCAACGGGTGAGTTAATAGGGGGTGGCAGGGGGAGGGGCTAGTGTTGACGCATTACAATTATACACATTTTATTATGACTATTATATGCCGCCTGTTATTATTAAGCGCTTTATGTTGTCGGGCTTCCGCATTTAGCTCATCATTTCCCCATTCCCCTTTTCAATTCTCGTTCTCAAGTTAATCATTTAAGTTCTAAAAGGGGGGCTTGTGGGGGGGGTGTTGTCAAGCGCCAAGGGGGGCTTATAAGGGAGGGGGGGGAGGTGCTTTGAGCTGGCTTGACCTGTTGTCAAAGTTTACTTTAAGTTTTTGGGGTTTACATTTTGGCGAGGATTTATCACGCTGGATAAACAAAGAGTCCAGTTGATTGAATGAAACTACTTAAGCTGAAATTATGAAAATTTATACAACACCTAATGTTGCGTTATTAGACGCAGTATATCGACAAGTTTGTTATACCATAATTTAAATAATTTTTTATTTTATTATATTTAAGAAAGTGCTTTTTATTGGAAACCAGCTTTATTAATAAAGATCCTAAAGAATTAAGTTACTAGTTAAGTAATATATTTATAATTAGGTTTACAAGAAACCGATAAATAGTATCCCTCCACCCTCTTCAACCAAAATAAGTAAATTGATTTTGATATCTATCGGAGATATTCGAATTGTCGCACTAAAGTCGACCATGTTATGTCTTCCTGTTCCGTCAAGTGTCATCCGTCACTCAGAGGAGACTTATGACGTATCTGGCGTCGATGATATTTTCTTATCTGTTTTCCAGCCGGCTATTTGTGAAATGCCAACCGCTTCCTTGTAGTGAAAAGTGCTCGAGCACTTCCTTAACACTCGTGCACTCCCCATGTACCCATATGTATACCCCGTTTTGGGGCCCAGAAAGTGGTGGCAGCCACTCGGATCGAAACTGAATTTCAAAGTGCGCATAGATAAATCATATGGCGAGGTGGGTTTGTTGACTTCGCCGCGTCGAAGGACGCCGGGCACTAAGCACCCAGACGTGAGCTGGAAACCCAAAGACCCAATGGGATCATCAGGGGGCGAAGAAATGATATCGGGCGGATCGAATTATTGTTTACATATGTACCCGCACATATGAGCCTTCTACATATACTCGTAGGTATGTCCATCACGTATAATTGTCGTTCAGTACATGCTGTGGTATACAAGTGGTCAAAGATTAGATAAAGCGTGGCCAGTTTTGGGCGTGTTTCGGTTTGGCTTTTGGCCATCTGTCCATCTGTCCAACTCTCGGAAGCCAAACGAAATTTTGGTTTTAAATGTTTTTACGACAGGCCCTATAGTGTGGCTTTATCGCCGGCCAACGCACGCGCCAAACTCTCCAAACAGCCTTGAAAAGTCATATAGAATATACATATATTTTTCACATAAATTATGTACATCCGATTAAAAGGTAAACAAGGCAAAATGTATGCGTTGTATGATATTTTTCTACTGCTCACCAGATAAGGATGAGTAATATGAGACATTGGTCACACTAAAATGGAGCTTTTTCTGGTAACATTTTAATATAACTTTGCCACCCTATTATGTAAGGCAAAAAAAAAAATAAATGTTAAATTTATTACTTCCACATGTCGAATTTATCTGTGAGCATAATCTTCCAAGATTTATATTCTGATTACCTCCATAAATTAGTGTCGCACTTTAAAGTGACCATTTTCCAAGCGGTTTCAAGGGCATTCAATCTCTCTTCATACGCAGACCTTAACCTTAAAAGGGGTACGGGTAAACGTACATAAAACACTTAAGAGCCAGCGATTAGATAGTTTAGTTAAATAAGTGAGACTAACGTGTCAGAGACTGACAAATGATAATCCATGAAAATACACGGCATATAAAGCACTTGTTGTTAAAAGCACTCGTGCTTTAAAATACGTACAGCTTAGAAATTGATTTAAATGCAAAATTCAACTGTCGTATTACGAGCGTGAAAACACGCAGGTAGCCAGCACATATGATATTGAATAACTGGGAATTCTTTAAATATTGCGCTAGCTATTGTCCCAAAACGAATTATATCTATTGTATTATGAACACAAAAATCCTATCCCCGTGGCATGTGCCAGATTTAAGTTCCCCTGTCTAGACTGAAGGCTACCCACATCTGGTTACCGGGCAGTGATAAGATGTGCGTGTCCAGGGACCCACAATTACTATATACATATTCCCGACTGCCCAATTCCCAGTTACCTACGGCAACAGCGTCCAAAAGTTCCCTCGAGTATCGCGATTGTCTCCGCACCTGTGATTGTGATTGTGATTGTGACTGTGGTCGAGTGCCCAAAAGTCGCCATTCTAATCAGCTCTCGAATGCGGCAATCCCGAAATATATAGAATGAACACAAATCAAATAAACTCGGGTGGGATTTATAAAGTCAACAGCTGTTGAGGCGAGATAGGCCTTCCTTCGATGATGAATCGGAAACCCTAAGGGTCATACATTACTTCGCAACTAATCTATTTACTCATCTCAGGAAACGCCGAAATTGGTTTCAGCTGGGCAACAGCAACACTTTGGCATTTAATTAGTTTTCGCCGCGCAGTCAACTGTCAAGATAAGTCCATAAATATGCATTAGTTTTATCAACCCATATCGCGTAGTGACGCAATCGATGTTATAATTCCGAGTCATGACGTCATGGGTGACCCATTTTTATGGTCAGATCCAAACAGTTTCCCAGGTACTCAAAGTGTACTTTTCCGCGACTTAAAAACGACCTTCGGCTTTATGCGGCGCTTCCTGTGTCAAGACAACGAACAAAAATTATTCGTCTCGCAATTGGCTTGTGCATTTTTAATGAGGCCCGAAAACTTGGCTTTGAGCAAAGCGAAAAAAAACGAAAAAATTATAACTATAATACTAGTAAAACATCATCGCGATAGTTAATTTTTACCGAACACAACACGCTCACGTATGTCACAACATCCCGTCGTCAGTCCATAGTCCCACATTCGCCTTTAATGTAAACTAATATGAGTGGCTTTAATCAAATAGAAATAATATATGCGTATGCAAAATGCGGCCATTGAGGTCAGCAGAAGGGGCACAAAGATTTAATAATTTCCAAGCCAAAACAAAACTGCGGGCCGTAAAAAGCAATCAAAGCGACTCACTGTATTTAAGGGTAACTCAGATATACGTACTATATATAGTATATGGTACTATATATGGCTGTGTGCACGCAATGGCCAGATTGTTGTAATCAAATCATTAGATAAAACCTGCCATCTGATCTGTTGGTTTCACTTTGTGTGGGAAACCAGGACTCGTAAATTTGTTTTATCAGTCGTTTTTTTTTTTTTTTTGCTCTGGAACCCATTTTGAAATAGCCCGATTGATAATCTTTATATCTTTATGTGCTTATTAGGTGTATTCTAAAAAACAATGTACAAAAATATTTACCCTGCGATAAAAGTTCTAAGAATAACGTTATGGGGTCTGGGTCTGTTTTTTTATTCGGTTAAAGTTTAAAGTGCCAGTGAATATCTCTTGGGATATTTATTATGTTTTATGAGATCTAAATACCCTTGTATAATGTTTACAATTCTACAAAATTTTCTTATAATATTTTAGTTCTGGGAAATCACTTATGCTTTTGTATGAGCATTAAACAGTGGTGGTAAAACAAAGCCTAGACAATATTTACTCATGGATAAAGCTATTATGAATTTGGGATTGTTGTAAGGAAACGCAGATAGAGATAAGTATAATTATAAAGCTTATCTTTTATGTTTATGTTATTTATGTAAAGGTGGCTTTTAATAATACTTGAGACCTTTTTAAACTCGAACATTTAATATTACGCCCCTTATTTGTTTCCAATTGATTAATCTATTTCCAAGTGGTGACATAAGACGTAAAAATCTGAACTTTCTCCTCCGGCTTAACCCTCGGTGTGGCCTCACCCACTAAGCGAAGATCTCGGTGATCTTTGGTCTCCAAGTTCGGATCAGATTGGATCGGATCGGATCGCATCGTGTTGGAGACGCGGACTCAGACATTGGGTAAACGCCCGGGGCTTAAACGGCGAACACGTTAACCTTGACTATTGCCGGCGGCGGCGAATCACAGTGGGGCATCGAGGGGTTAAGCGGGGGGCGGGGGTGCGGTGTCGGCGTGAGCTATTCCAAAGATCGGCAAAGAAATGCGAATGATGATGTGATGATCAAGCCGAACAATAATAAACGGAATTGCGAGCACTCTTTACGATTGTTATACAAGTATTGCGGCTAGACATTTCAGGCGGCAGCAGTCTTTAATGGGTTAATAATGCGAGCAGGCATCCAAGCAGGCTACAGTGTGGATCATGAATATATGTGTGGTGTAGAAAATGGGTGAGTGTGTGACTTTTATGAGCCATTTTCAACAAGCAGACAGAAGCGAGAGCTTAAATGAAATGAATTACTTTTAAACTCTACACTCATGGGCAGCACTGTACTTGTCTATTTTAGCCTATTCCATCGAGGTGACTGTGTTTTATTGCGGCTTGATGCACCGTTAGTTGGCACCACTTAAAATGGCAAGCAAAAATGAGTTCAAGCTGTCTTTGGACTCGAATTGCAATTGGCCTACAGAGAAACAATCGTCGGAGAAAGGCAAAGAGTCGGGGAAGATATACATATATATACCATATATAGCCTCAAATCCGATCCGTGTGAGATTCAGTGAGGCGTGAAAAACGCATTCGCCAAATGTCGGGCCGCAAAAACCGCACATGGAAGCCATTCCTTTTAACCAAGACAATTATCTAATGAGTGTGAGCCATATAAAAGACTTTGGGCATAACATTTTAATTGGAAAATGCTGTAAAGTCTGAAGTGGAAGTTTGTTGTAAAAAGTCTGGGTTTGGATCATAATGTGGATAATTTAGTAATGACTAATTTATATCATTCTGGCATATCATCTATTGAAGTCTTAATAATATTTCTTTTCAGGCGATGCCTTGAAGAACATATTGATCATGTTGTCCTTCCCAGTATTATTGCACTAATAACCTAAACGAAAGAAAACAAAACAACAAGTTCTGGGGGTCGTTTTGTAGCATTTGGGGCACTTAACGCCGCGGTGCCAATTTCGCTTGTGCAATCCCGGAGATCTCGGAAATCGGTTCTCGACCACCTTTTTTCCAGCCAAGTGCTAATCAATGACAAAACGATCTCGCTTATGTAATGATTGCCAGCAAAAAACATACGTACGTTGGGTTCGGGCACACGTCGATTATCAGTTCATCGTTTGACAAAAATCCATCGCCAACTGATACTGCGACTAACAATAATACACCTGATACGGCAAAAAAAAGCAAATAACAAATATAAACGTTTAAGAGGCGCCAGCTGACTGAGAACTGAAAAATCTGAACTCTAATCAGCCACTCCTCTACTGCGTATTAGCTTTTCCCACATGGCGTATACATTATATTCGAGTCCAGCGGACCTGATTCTGGAAAGTTTTGTCGATTACTGCCGAAAATAAGTTATGGAAAATTATGGCACAAACAAGTTGCAAAAAACTCAAAAAATAAATTTAAAAAGAAGGGATTTTTTTAAACAGGAAATCAAAAAATTGATACAGATATAATTTTCCAATAAAATGTGAGTACATTTTTTAATGTATAAAAAATAATAATTTTATTTTCCAACAAATAATTATCATCATCACTACGTCCCCAATTGATGAAGTGGCAAAGCCCAAGCTCTTGTGTAAGACACACAAATGTAATTCCCTGATGCGCATAAATTAATAAAATTGCCAGCGAATTAAAATTTTTATTATAGTTTGCCTTTCTCGGAGGAGATCCCTATGTTTGTTTATTTCATTTCCTTTTGTTTTCGTTGCTTCGCCCAATTTTTAATTGATTATTAATGCGAACGAAAGCGAAAGCCAGAGGCAAAAAAACAAGAATTGAAGGCGACCGTCGGGCTCTCTCTCTATATATATCCATATATCCCACTTGAATAGTTTCGATACAAGGTTCCTATTAAGCTTAAGCGAAGATTTCCTGCAATTTTCTTATTTGCGCACAAAGCCAGTCTCTAGTGGACAGTGACAGTCATGAAAGTATATTTACCCTAGAAGTGCTCGGATATCTCAAAGTTAATTGAAATGGTAGTGCCCGAGGTTTTACCCCCCATCGAATGGCTACTTATAGATAGACCCAGTTTGATAAGAACTTTGCACTGACACCAGAAATAGATATCGCTTCAGTTCAAGTGCACTTTTCATTTATGAAGTGGTTTTACGGTGGGCTTTACATAAGTTTCCCTCGAAACGCAGAACGGAAAATTTAGGGTGCTAAATCACTTGAGTTTGATATAAAAATGCTTCCCTACCGTTATTTATTTGGATGAGCTGTCCACTTATTACTCAACGATTGTACTTACATCGTTTTTCTTTAGTTAGAACTGTATTTCTAGTAAATACGACTAAAAAGTATTTCAGAACAATATCTCTGGGTAACAGTTCTATAAAGTTCCTAATCATTTTGTGCATGAGAACTCATTATTATGGCCGGCGGTGTATCGCCAAAGAGACCACTCCAATTCAAAGACACTTCCGTAATTAATGTCAGATCCAACGCCCATCCACCCACTGACCCAGAAATATAGATCGAATCTGTATCTGTATCTGTGTTTGTATCTGTATCTGTGTGTGTTGTACTTTTTCCGTTTGGCGGCCATGACGCTCTTGATTTACCCGTTCCCATTCCCGTTCCCGTTCCACATACCCGATACTATCCGATCCGAGCCGATCCAAATTCCCGTTCCCGTTTTCATTGCCGTTAGCGGTGATGACGTTAATTTCGTGGCTGGGCGTGATTCACTTTAGATGCCGGCCGATTTGCTTGGAATTTTATTAAAAACAAAGCGAAATCATGAATCAGCGTCTTTATTTCGATACCCATGAGCCAAGATACAGACATATGCATGATATATGCACATCTGTGGGTGTTAGACTGACTAAAACCGCGTAGAACCATTGAAATTCGTTACAAAAGCTAGGTGTCGAGAACTGCTAGGTAAGTGATTCACACGATTTGAATATTTACCTATTTTGCTGATTAATAGTGGTTGTCTTTCATTGTTAACTATGTTTCACATGTAAATATTTTAAATTACTGCGTTCTTTGTATTCACAAACAAATGCGTTTGCGCTCTTTGTTTATTTATGTTTACTGTTTTGGAACTTGAAAAGCAAGTTATTTTTGCTCCTGTTGTTGTTCACTAATTTGCCAATGTAAATTATCATAGCTATTTTAATTGTTTATAAATGACAAAGCCTTAAGACTTTGTTGCTCAGTTCTGTAATTTGTTAACCACCTGTTAACTTATTTTTAATGTATCACTTTTTATGCTTTTGTAGGCACAAGTCCCTTGAATAAATGGCAATAAGATGCACTGACTCACCTTCGATGCATGAAGAATTGGCCAAGCGATGTCCATAGCTCCGTTCCAGCCAATCCGAGGGGGGCGGTGAGGGGGAGGATTCACTCCCGGTTATTCCAGTGTTTCCATTCCGCTTTTGAATATTCCCAAAGGCATTGGATTGCTGCTGCTGCTGCTGATGTTGCTGCTGCTGATGTTGCCTGTTGCTGTTGTAGCGACTCTTGCGCGTTGTATGCTTGTTGCCGGTGTTGCCGCCGTGCTGCAATGTTGCTGCCGCAGCTGTTGCATGTTGCTGGTAGCCCATCATGCCATTAGTTGCTGCTAGGTTGTTGCCGGTGTATTTCTGAGGGCAGCGCTTGTTGCTGCTGCTGTTGTTGGAGTTGCTGGTCGTATTGATGTTACTGTTGTCCCTGTTCTGGTTGCAACGCTGCATTTTGTCATCTAAAAATAAAAATCATCATCAAATTAGTATTAGTATTTTAGCTCAGAAAAGTAAATATACAATGATATGAGTATACTAACTAGCAAGTACATTTCGCAGCCGAAACTTACATATCTTAAGTAGATGTACTTGCAAGAAATCTTCGAGAAAGAAATGCATCGCACCGCTGCAGACATAAACGCGTTTGAATTAATTTCAAGACTGTAAACAAAAACTGTGTTTATCGGTTTTTGGGGGTTCGGTGTATTTGTATATAGTATTTAGTGTATTTTGTAGGAGAACCCTTAGCAGACCGCCTGCACTTGCAGTTGAAAGCCAACTAAATGGCGCGATTAGCGAACGATCGCGATATAAACAAAAAGCTGGGCGCCAAGAAAAAGACGACGAAAAAACCCCAGAGACATATTCATACAATTCACTTCTGATGACGACACAGTGAATCACCGCTGATAATGCGGGAATAAAGCGAACTCATCGGCTCTGGCTGACTCTTTCCATATCTCTGCTGCCCTCTCTTTCGATGGGCGACGGAAAATAAAACCTAGGCCAAGTCACACGGTCTCTGTGTGGGGCTTTTCGACCAGGTTCAGACCACGTGCTCCCAACTTCCTACTTGGATAAGGTCGCATGGGGTATACCATACATATGTTGGGGTATTTCGATCGCTTTGAACGCTTGCAGAGGGTATTATGCTATGAAAATCATGACTTACACCGATTGTTCATGATCATGAACAACATTGAATTTTCCTAATCACTTTTGTTTTGAGTACGATCCTATCAGATCAGCTTCTCTTGTTTGCTTGGATGGATACTATTATAAAGTACTGTAGCTTATTTCTTTTATAAACATAACCATCCAGCTCTGATAACTTTTATCTACGGTTTGCAAAGTTTGAAATCGTTATTATCTGGTATAGAAACTTCGGAGTTATCTTGTTACCCCGCCCTGTTTATCATATCTGGAACCAACTTAGCCGTCTTCCCAAACTTCGGTCTCTGATGCTGTTGAACCCTTTTCATTAATGTATGCAATTTTTGCGCTTTTCCCCGCTTTTCCAAGGGCTAGGAAAAATTTAGCTCGATTCGATTCGATTTTGTGGTGTAGCGTAGAGTGTTCACTAAAGACAAAACGAAGCGAAACAAACGGCAAAAATTTTGATACTGTGCAAATGTTTTGTTTGGTTTGAAAGTGTCTTGAACTGTTCCGATAACATGTTGATAATAATAATCCACAGCAACTACGTCAACTGCCAGAGCGGCCAATTTCCGAAAAACAGAAATCAACAGGGCGATGTGATCCCATGTTTTTTCCCCCGAACTTTTCTGAACATCTTTTCCTGGTAATTCGGGTTATGGTCGAATCAGTGGACTTATAGGTAAGGCAAGTCATGCTCGTAACATACGCATAGATACTTTAAAAATGTCAGTGTGCAAATGTTTGACCGCTTAAATCCAGTTTAAAGATTTATGTATAAAATTAAAGGCAGCCGGCGAATATCGTGTCTGTATGTGGACCAACTAGTTCGGATCATAGTTTGTAGTATGCATTTTTCTTTGGGAGGAGCTTTATATTATATAAGTTTGAATAGTAAGTTTCGCCATAAATTTAAATTGAAGATTGGTTTTTTGCTAAAAACAAGGTTATTTCAAGATTTTTATTTATATCAATAGATATAATTATTAGCAGCAACGGTTGTTACTCTTAAGTATTATAAAGAACCAAAATGTTCAGTTATTTATTGCAATCCTGACTAAATATAAACCCTTGTATTATTTACGGAAACTGCAATTTATTGCTTCCTGAAATGTTACTCAAAAAATCGTTTTTCCAAGTATTTTTCTGTGCTTTGGCCAAAATAAAATTATTTTTGTTAATTTCGTGAAGTCTTTCATGTTTGCGTGTGAATTTTAACACTCAATAAGAACTATTGCCGGTATTTTTAGCCAACGAGCACATAAACGAAAAGTTCATCATCTGGTTCGCTTTCACTGGGCCATCATAAATGAATCTTGGAATTTCGACCATTTGTTGTTTATGGCGAGAGATGTGCCCAAAAAAAAAATAATAACAGAAATCGCACAACTACAAACCAGAAACTAAAACAAAGCTATACAAATTATAGAAGAGTGAAACAAAAAAGTCTGTAAAAAAACATAAGACGAGCTAAAGACAGTCAAAATGACGACTGCGGGAAACAGGTACCAGTTCGTGCCTAGCGCCGTACCATGTGTGTGCCGCCTGCCCCGCCCCTTTTAAATACCCCACCACCCACTACACCGAAAGAAAACATAGAGAGCAGTGGAATTTATCTGATTAATTTAATTTTTTTGATTTACAGCCTAATAATATTTATACAGATCAAAGTAAAGTCATAAGTTTAACTACCTAGCCATTCAAGTGGTCATTAAAACCAATAGAATATTTTTTATAGATGTGTACATACTAGAATAATATATTACATTTTATTAGCTTTAAATGTACGTAATTAGGAAGATAAATTCATATATTTTATGATGTAGTATTTTAGTTTTTATCGTCCCCCCTTTCGAACAGTGCATTTTCAAGAAGAGAGTGGGAGAAGTCTTCGAAATTGTCGAGTATTTTGTTGTTATTTCTTGGTAATATCAAAATGGGGAATGCAAAAATCGTGAAATTCGCTAGCGACCACGCCCCCTCGCTCGTCGTTGATTAGGGCGTGTGATTTATAGAGGCGCCGCACTGAATCGCGATGAATCGGCATCCGAATCGAAATCGGAATGATAATATTGCGTGGAACCAGTTTGGAAGAGGCTTATAAATGCGACAAGTTCGTTGGTATCGTCGTGGGCACGTGTGTGTAATCACCCCAGGCTCCACTGTACCCCCTCCTCCAACATCTTACCCCTTTTTTCAGTTTCTCAGTTTTTCTGCTCGCATTGCCAAAACGGAAATGCATTCTATTTTTGTGGCCACCGAACTCATCAACTGCATCATTATTATCAATATGATAATCATCAAATAGCGAAATACGATTCATTCATATTCATTCAAGTAAGCAACAACACAGAAAATTCAGCGCGCCAAAGTTGAATGAATTCCAACGAAGATACATATATGTATGTATGTATATGTATATCTATATACAAAAGATCCCAGCGAAAGGAAAAAGGCAAGGAAACGAGACATTAAGAGCGATTATAGTATATAGGGGAGCCAACTGAAGCGGATCATTAAGGGAAGACCACAGCGAACCGAACAATGGGGGAAACTTCAAAAGAAACTTGCGCAGATCTCGACAAACTTGGGATACACTTCACTTTTGATAATGTATTTTTTGACCTTCAATAATAAATAGTGCCATTAACTGATATCCATAAAAAATATTTATTTTGTAATTCATTGTTTTGCAATGCTCTGTTCTGTTCGTTTATTATTTAACTTTCTTTTACTTGCATAATATTGAAGATATATGACTTTCTTTCACTATTTAATTAAAATAGAAGCTGGTTTTATATATTTCAAAATGTTCCTCATAAGAACGTTAAAAAATAGGTTAAAAACCCATTTCGCAATGGGTTTAATTTGTGAAGTGCCACAAGTCCTGTCGTTAAACGAAGGGTATGCCAACAAAGGGGGACCAAAGCGAAGAATGCCAATATCTTTTTGCGCATGGCAACAGCTGAAAACCTAAACTTAAACCGATGATGACGACGCATTTGGCGCACGTGTGTGTGCTGCGCAGATACAGATACAGATACATTTTCAGATACATCTGGCCGATGTTACACGGATAGCTGGAGTTTGGCACAAAAGTTTTCCGAAATCGAATCGAATTCCGAAAAACCGAGTGGAAATTTTCCCAAGAGCCCAAAAGTGCGGCGCACAAATACACGATTCGAAACGAGTTTCCCTAATGGGTTTAATGGCTCCGGTGGGGTTACAAGTGGGGTTACGAGCGGGCTGCTAACGAACTTTTCTCCGCAGCCCCAGGTTTTGGGCTTGGGGCTTGGGGTTTTGGGTTCAGACAGAGCTCGGCTTTCGGAAAGACTGAACACGTGTGTCAGTGTGTGTGCCTCTTGTAATAACCAATGTTTCAGCGGACCGGAAATGTTAATGCGGCCTTAATGTATTGTATAATTGCGGTCGGGCCATAAAAATGAATAGAAATCCATACAAAATTAAGTGATTCGCAATTCAATTACGTGCCTCGAGCGCGAACATCTAGAACTTTTTGCCATTTCGTATTGTGGCCACATAAACGTAAATTAGATTGATGTAAGGCACTGCCAAAAAAACAGGAAGACTTATCAACCTGGGACGTGCCGTAAGGTTTGCTTTTCGTTTTTGGGGATTGCTCTAATCAAAGTGCTTTTAATTTAGGAAGAAGGAAGAAGATCGCTGCGATGGAGCGTGATGTGGCTTTTTATGCCTGACTGCCGGATAGCCAAGCCCCTTTTTTTCCCAAACTTATTTTATGTGGACTGAATGGGACTGAAATTTGGCTTGGTTTTTTCACTTATTTCAAATAATATTATACGTCATATATTTTACGCTTCTGGGACTTATTTTAGGTAAACAAATAATGTTCTATGTGGCGTTTATTAAAATGCGATTGAGAATGGGGTGTGGGGCCTACTCGAAATTCGATAAACAAATCACTTCCGATGACGACATTGAGCACATGGCGTATGGGCAATGTGCGGTATCAACTTTGACAAATTTCAGCGGTTCCTTTCGTTTATTTTTATGTGCTTATCAGCAATTTCCTATATTTTTTCTGAAACGGAAGAAGGTTCAAGAAAAAAGAAAAAAACATTTTTTTTCAACCCTGCAATTATTTGCATATATACATACATGTACGACAATTGTACGGCTTTTTTAAAACATTTTTCCACATAATTCGGCATTTATTATTAATTGAAAACATTATGGAATTTGCTGTTTACTCAAATACCCAAACGCAACCTAACAAATCAACTAATTTCGTTAAGCCAAATTTTCTTCTTTCTTGATTTAT